AAAAAAAAAAAAAAGTCTTCTATGCTGCTCAATATTTTACTGTGGCCTCACTTAAAAATTCCTTCAGAAAATACCAGTAACTGAAGGTAAGACTTAGTGTCATTTTGATTTAGAAACAAAAATGGTGTTCATGTCCATGGTAAGAAATAATATGTCAGCTTTCACTTAAAATAGATCTCTCTCTCTCTCTCTCTCTCTCTCTCTCTCTGGCTTTCTCTAATTAGATTTCACCAGAACTGAACATTTTCTTGAAGGAATATTATCTAGTTTTATACTTTGCCTTATTTATGTTACGGTCTGAGGTTCTCCTTCACCTGTTGGAATCTCAGTAGATTTGTTTTATACATTCCTTTCAGGAGGATAAGAAGTCTAGGTAGGAAATTAGAGGAACCTACAACTGTGGAAAATTCTCCTTTTTAAGAATTACACACTGTAAGCCACGTGTGGTAGCACACCCCTTTAATTCCAGCTCTTGGGAGGTAGAGAGATGGACCCCTGAGTTTAAGGCCAGTCTGGTCTACAGAGCAAGTTCTAGGACAGCCAGGGCTACATCCCCATGTGCAAAAAAATTGCACACAGCATTTTACATGGCTTGGAACTGGAAGCCTGAGAGGGTAATGAGGGAGTAAAGGGCACAGAAAAGCTGGCACTGGGTGGGTTCTGCCCACTCTAATGGAGGACACCTAAAAGGCAATAACCTGGAAACTCAGTGCTTTTATTATGGACAGCACAGGAGCAGAGGTTAGCTAGCCCTAGTAGGAGGATTTCTAGGGGCACAGTCTCAGGTTGCAGTCATTCAGGAGGACAAAGCTGCAGTCATTTGTTTTTTGCACACACTGTCAACATTCGCACAGGGACCAGAGCAAGGCTTTGCCAGTTCCCTGAACCTGACTCTCAACTGGGGAAGGCATTGCCAATTCCTGTGGGTGTCAGGCATTGAGGTTCTTGTCAATTGCAAATATTCACTCAGAACTTCATCCTTCCCTTACACATTTACTCAGGGCTTCCTCTGCTTCTCACAATTATGTTGACGTGTGTGTGTGTGTGTGTGTGTGTGTGTGTGTGTGTGTGTGTGTGTTTACATGTGTGGAAGTTAAGAGGACAACTTGTGGAAGTTATTTTTCTTCCAACCATGTGGGTTGCAGGGATTGAACCCATGTTGTCAGGCTTGGTGGCAAGTGCCTCTACAGCCCCAGAAACATTCCACTTTTTGTTGTCAGATTTACAGGGTGAAAGTTGAGAAGAGAGCTAATCAGAAAAGGGATATCTTTGCAGTATCATTTCTGTGCTAGGATGAAATTACTCTGCAGGGCAGATGCTATCATGTTCCTAGTTTTGACTATGTGCATTATGTTTCCAATAGACAGTGGACAGAAGCCTGTTATAGTCACCACACCAGCAAATGTAGAGGTGATGGATGGAGACTTTGTGACTTTGTCTTGTAATGCCACGGGAGTGCCTGTCCCCGTCATTAATTGGTACGGCCGCCATGGATTGATAACCAGCCATCCATCTCAGGTCCTTAGGTCCAAGTCCCGAAAGTCCCACCTGTTCCGACCTGGGGACCTGGACCTGGAGCCTGTCTACCTCATCATGTCCCGAGCTGGCTCAAGCTCTCTGTCTATCCAGTCAGTTACTCGGGAGCATGCTGGGAAATACACCTGTGAAGCTACAAACAAACATGGCACCTCACAGTCAGAAGTGCTCCTCACAGTTGGTGAGTTGCTTTCGGCAATTTTCTTCTCAGTAGAGCAGCACCTTTTTCTTGTAGGGGAAAAGATGATTTGTTTCCCCAGTTGCAATGAAATGCAGGGCTGTGTTTGGAGGTATTTTGTTGGACAGGAACCACGTGGGCTTTGGTCTCCATTTCTTATTTAACTCTTACTTGGGAACGAGCTCAAAATATAATCTGTCTTCATGATTAATGGCTTTGGGTTTTGAAGGCACTGAAGAGGTTATTTCACAGGAGGAGAGCTTGAAGAGTAAGATTCAAAGTCTGAAGGCTTGGCTTGTTTGGAGAAGGTAGACCTAGGGTTCTATCAAATACCCCTATGTGGCTATATGTTATTTTTCTAAGGGGATATTTAATAGTATTATATTCCATTGATTTGACATGGCTATGACTTCACAGTTTCATACGATTTTTGGAGTCTCCAGTTCTGACCTTGCACCAGTGTGCATGTAGAGCAGCATTTCCTGATGTGTGTAGATTGTGGAGTGGCTGTTAAGGTAGTTGATTATCAGTCGGTTGTCAGTGAGCTGAGCAGATTGTTGTTGTATTTGTCTTCTGAAACACAGGGCATGCAGTACTGCTTTAGTATGGGGACATGAGGTTCTTGCCCTAGTCACTCCTTAAAGGGCTTCATGTGACCTTTTTTTCTGCCCAAATCCTTTGATTGGTGTCTCTTCTGGTCATAGACCTTTGGGTTCAAGGTCAGTGTCTATCCTGGAGTTGGCACTCTTCTCTGCACATAGTGGCTCTGGGGCTCCTTAGTTCCCTGCTTTAATTATTTCCCAGGCTAGCTTGGGTGTTCTTTTCTGTCCTGTCCTCTATAGATGTTCTAAAAGCGGAGGAGGAGCCTTGGGTGGTCTTGGCAGAAAAATGCTGGTGCTAGAGTTTGGCTGTTAGCATAGCTGTTTGTTTTCTGTTGTAAAAAGGGAGTCTAGATCTGGAGGCCAGAAGAGAAGTGTGGAAAAGCTAGGGACCTGCACTCTTACACGTGCTGTCTAGTGCATTTTAGAGGTGGTACACTGTGTGGCAATGAAGTCTATAGGCTGTGCTCAAATAATGCTCAATATTGCAACCAGAGGCCAGTTGCTGAGCTCTGCTTGCTCCTGATTTGTGTCACTAATGTCCTGTTCATAGGATTCATGTGCAAGTCTAAGAGGTCAGGACAGGAAAACTGTAACAGTGCTGTCTGGTAATAGAAAACATTCTATAAATATAATGTATTAGGTTATGATTATTGCTGTCTAATTCCTGGTAAATTCTAGTTATTCGTCGTGGTGATGTTTGTGGCAGGAAGAGGTAGTTACTGACTTTAATAGCCTCAGAAGCAGTTGAGTATTATATAAATTTAGATATGTGAGTATGCGTGTGCACATAGGTGTGGATCTGCATATACGTGTCCCACTGGGGAAAATAAGAGTGGCACAGATTAGAGCTATTAGCTGCTAGCAGGTCTGCACGAGCTGCCGGGTAGAACTTAGCAGGTGTGATTGTTGTGCACAGCAGCACAAGGAGATATAGATGTTATGGTTGTAGCTGACGGAACAAGATACTTTTTGTTAGTTCATAAGTCTTGATGTAGCAGCCCACTCCCAGGTTGCTTGGATACCGTGATGCCATCATTGGTCACCACCCACAGGGCGGGATAAAAGGACCCCTGCCTCTTACCTCTCTCTCTTGCTCTCTCCCCTCTCTATGTTGGGCCACCTCCTCCCACCATGTCTTTCTCTCTCTCTCTCTCTCTTTCTCTTTCCCTCACTCTCTCCATCTCCTTCCAATAAACTCTTTCATATAATATCTGTTGTATGCATCATATTTAAATGCTAACACTTTTTCTCTCACATTTTAAGTAAGAGATATCCGAGACACTTAAATTTTATAGTCCTGCTTGCTTAGATTAGATCTTTAATCCTGTCCGGTAAATGCCATTTTAATGAGCAGTAACCTTGTCATTTACTTCCTACCCACCTGGGCTTTTTTTCTATGTCCCAGAAGAATTAAGACCCGGATGAGTTTAGTAAAGCTCAAACAGTACATAGTAGTGCACTTCTATTTATAGAGACCTGAGCCTCACTGAACTCCAGCATTATCTGTCAGTGACTTTTTATTATGGAGAGGGTAAGCCAAATCTGAAAGTGAGGTGACATCTCCCTCTCCCTTCTTTCCAGAGACCTCGTGTTTTTGAGGTCTTTGACGTACAGTATTACAGGGTGGGTACTAATGGGGCCAGCCTAGTTCCCTGAAATGTGGAGTGGATGTGACAGCTTGTGCTTCACATTTCACTGGTTTCTGCTCAGACTCATTAAATTCATTAACATTGCTGCATTTTTTTTCTAATTCAGAAGCAGTGCACTTTCAATCTGAAGGAGGGGGGTTCATGCTTGTAATCAACAGTTGGGAGACTGAGGAAGGAGTATAGCTAAGAGGTCAAAGCTAGCTCAGAATGTGGATTAAGAACCTGTTTCAAAGAACCAATCCAAAGCACGTATTTTCTTTAAAAGTAAAAGTAGGACATGAAGTTTGGAGAGAGATTGGGGTGGGGCCACTAGGCAGAATTGGAGGGAGGTAGTGATGGATTGATGTGATCAAAACACAATGTATAAATGTGTGAAATTTACAAAGAATAAACACTATTTTTAAAATACAGAAATACAGAGTTTTGTTAAGGATAAAAGGAAATAGAGATAATATCTCTGAGCACTTGCGAAAATCTAGGCAGTCCTCAATTTAAGAAGATTTCACTTAAAATTTTTCAATTTAAAACAGTGGTATGAAAGTGATACACATTCAGTAGAAACAATGCCTTCTCCTGGGAGAAGAGCTGTGGTGCTCTGACCCTGGGCAGTAGCAGTGAGCTGTTCCTCCCTGTCAGCCATTCCAGGAGAGAGGGACATAGACCTGTGCTGTTGCCAAGTGATGGTGTCTGATGGGTCGGGAATATTAAATGTACTTTTTCCACTTAATATTTTAATTTATGATGAGCTTATTGGGCCAAGATCTTTAAACAGTATCTAATGTAATCTTTTAATGACTGAAAGTGTATTATTTGCAACAGTAGGGATTACTTAATCCCCCCCCCCCCAATTTTAAAAGTTGTGGCAGGCTGCACGGCACCTGAAGTAACAGAAACAGAATTGTGATGCTCTTTCAGTGGGCAGGCTGCAGAATAGCATTTTCCTGACACTGCTGTATAAACTGAGGTGCGTAGTATGGAAACCCTTTTGTGGCCAGATACCACCACTTCCCAGTGGTCAACTGTCCGGAGGATCCAGGAAACTACTAATGAAACAAGAGTCTTTCCCTACCACCCAAGCCACAGCTAATCCCCTTTAGTTGGAGCTCATTTTTCAGTAGGAGCAAGCACAACATCCTCCCTGAATGTCCACTCGGCCCTGACTCACTAGGTAAACATGCTCCTTCCAGGAGCAATATTTTGAAGTTGTCTCAGTGACCTTAGTTTTCTTCTGCACTGCTTCACACTAGCTTCTTATTTTCTTTGACGAAGGATGATTCTAGGACATTTTTCTTCTTAAACTAACAGGAATCTGACCTTACACTTTAGTCTGGGTCTTGTTGGTTTTTTATTTATATGTGGTTCTAAAATCACACCTTTTAGCGGGAGTCAGACTTCATTGTACAGGTAAATGTTTCCCTTTATAAAGGAGTGAATAATAGGGGACCAGTGTTAATAGCACCGGAGGGAAACCAAGCTGTCAATCCTAAGGTTTTATTACATTGACAGCTTGTTTTGTCTCTACAGATCTCTCACATTTTCCTGTTCTTCTCACAGCTTCCTACCAACATTCTTCTATAAGCTGTCATCTTAGAGTTTTGGAACTCCATTTCACCTGTAAAGCAGGAGGAAGTACTCCTCTCCACCCAAGAATTAAATGAGATGATTCATGTTAGATAACATGTATCTTTCTTGGCAAAAAAAAAAAAAAAATTCTCAATAGTTTGGATATATTGCTTCGATATCCTGCTATACCCTTTGAGACCCTCTGTGGTAGGATTCTGTCCTGTTTCCTGTCTTCTCCCACTTCCGATGTCCATCCTGTTTGCCCTTCTGAATGAGGATTAAGCATCTTCTTAGGGTCCTCCTTGTGTTTTAGCTTCTTTAGGAGATTTTAGTATGCTTATCCTATATTATATGTCTAATATCCATTTATAAGTGAGTATATACCATGTGTGTCTTTCTGCTTCTGGGTTATCTCACTCAGGATGACCTTTTCTAGTTCTATTCATTATAGAGTGGCATCTTTTAAACGATAGTTTAATTCCTTGAGAGTTTTATACCATTTATTTTTAACATATTTGCCTTTTCTTCTCTAGCTCATCCCATAATGACCCTCTCTACCTTACCATCCCATCCCACCCAACTTTGAGATTATTTTTCCTAACAAGTCCACTTTGTGTTGAGCAGCTGGTTTTGGGAGTGGGGCTGCCATGGTGCATGGTTAACCTACCAGAGGCCACATCATTAAAGAAAACTGAGTCTTCCTCTCCCAGCAGCTACCATAGCAGTTCTGTGCCTACCTCAGTCCCTATATGCTAGGATTTTATCTGGTCACATTATGCCTGCAGTCAAGAAGCAGAGTGGGAGAGGAGCTGGTGTCCAGCTGGCATTCCCGTTTTCTTCTCAGCCCAGGGTCCAGCCCAGAGAATGGTGCTACCTGTTTTGGGGATGGATCTTCTCACTTCAATTAATCCAGTCTAGAAATCCAGTGCCTCCGGAACATGTCTAGAGGTTTGCTTCTGTGGAGATTAGAAATCCCATCAAGATGACCCATGACAGGTGGAATACCTGTTGATAAGTACCTACTGTAATGACACACACAGCCCCTTGGCTATTTCATTCCACTCTTTTCTGTTCTACATCCATCTGGGCTGTTCTTTCCTTTGCCTTTCTTGTTTTGGGGTCAGTAATTTGTAACTTGGCTATAATCAAAGCACACAGCCAACGTAGCTTCATTCTCATGTGGACTTTTGTGGAAGTGGAACCTCATCTTCAAGTCTGTCTAGAAAATCTGTACACAAGACCAGCTGGTACATGACTGTGGAGCAGCCAAAGCATAAGAGCAAAAGTGCAGGCAGAAGAAACAGGGCTTCCTGAGGCTTAGGCTGAGACTCAGGGCTGGAGGGCACTGCATAAACGGGAATTCTGGTAGTAACTTTGGAAACCAGTTTTCCAGAGGGTGAGAGAACAATGCTGGCCATTAAAACCAAAACCAAACCAAACAAAAAATGTTTGCTGTGCATGTGGGGAGGGGTGTGAATAACATGGTATGCGTGTGGAGGTCAGAGGGCAACTTGTCGCAGTTGGTTCGAGCCTGCTGTGTGGTTCCAGGTTGTCAGGCTTGGCAGCAGGTGTTTGGTCCACTGAGCCATCTCACTATCGCCCATGTTTTTCTTCTATCACTTTGTTCACAGTAGAATACGTTATCCATTGTGTTAAACTCACCAAGGCTTTTTAAATTGAGTTAGTTACTCAAAAAAAAACAAAAACAAAAACAAAAACAAAAAAAACCCTGAATATTAATATAGAGCTAAGAAAAAAAATGTCTTTTTCACTGGTCAACTGTTGTGTCATGCTATTGGTTTTCTAAACTGTCTCTTTGTTTTCCAATGAGCAGACAGACAACAGAAATTATATGTCACTCTGAACAAAACAGTGAAATGTCACTTATTTTAATGTCTTGGATTCAAGTTGTGGTAATAATGTCAGTGTGGGCACTGATATTAACTGGGTGGAAGATGCTGGAAAAGTAAACTTCTTCAACCAGTCTCCCCTTATTCCTCTCTCCCTCTCTGCAGTTCCTTTTGAAACAAATACGAGAGCAGAGTCAGTCACACCTTCTGAAGCTGCTCAGAATGATGAACGAGACCCAAGAGATGGTTCTGAGTCCAGCTTGCTGAACTTGTTTCCAGTGAAGGTGCATTCCAGTGGAATGGCATTGCCAGCAGAGAACAATGCCTCCGTCCCCGATGCTCCTAACATCCTGAGCCCCCCACAGACCCACATGCCAGACACGTACAACCTGGTGTGGAGGGCAGGGAGGGATGGCGGGCTGCCCATCAATGCCTATTTTGTGAAGTATCGAAAGGTAATGCCTGCTCATTCATTTTCATCTTCTCATTCCTTAACCCTGTATATGTGTGAGACATTTGCTTATGTTTTACATTTATGGGAGGGTAGAAAGCGAGTGTTCCAGAATATGTTTGTCAGAGGAATCCTCACTAGTCATGCTGGATTGACAGATCTTGGGAAACTAGTAAGAATAATATATAACTATTTTTTCCCCAAATTGAAGTTTGAATCCAAAGTAGCGTAACATTTTCCCTCCCTACTTACTTTCCTCTCTCTCTCTCTCTCTCTCTCTCTCTCTCTCTCTCTCTCTCTTCTTTCTTCCTTTCCACCTGGTGCTAGGGTATGCAACTCAAGGCTTCAAGCTAGGCTAGTGATTACCACTGAACGCTGCCTCTAGTCCCTGTCACCATTTTCTATCAAATCTCTTGTTTTAAACCACTGGGCATCAACTTTGAAAACTGTAATTTTGTCCTTTGCTAAGGTTATAGAATACTCATCAAATAAAGATTGCCTGTTGGGGCAAAGTCCTCTGGTATCATTTATGACCATTGCATTGTAGGCTGGCCTCATACTGATGCTAGTATCTTAAACGGTTTGGTTATTTATTTTGGTCATGCATGAGCCTGTATGTGTTGTTTCTTTGGGTGATATTTTTCCTCTGCAAGCTTGTATTAAAGCAAAAATTAATTAATCTTAACAAGATGAATACATTTCATAAGCCGAAAGGCACTGTAGCTCTTGCTCACAATAACCTGCAGCCTTCTTTGGAATTAGATGAATGCTAGTTTTTGTGTAATTTCCTGTCCTTCATCTCTCATTATTCTGGCTTTCTCTTGAGCAGCTAGATGATGGTACTGGTGCAGTGGGCAGCTGGCACACGGTTCGTGTCCCAGGGAGTGAAAATGAGCTGCATCTGACTGAGCTGGAGCCATCAAGTCTATATGAAGTTTTAATGGTGGCTAGAAGTGCAGTTGGTGAAGGACAGCCTGCCATGCTTACCTTTCGGACCAGCAAAGGTGAGTGTTGTCTTCCATCAAAGAGAACTGGCTACTTAATGCCAATTTATTAGTAAAAAAAATCCTCTTGGATAGTGGAAATCATAAGATATAAATCCATTATACACACACACTGTAGTACCTTTTGGGAGTTTATATTTAGGTGGTTATGTTATTTTATTGGATTATAATATTTCATATATAGTTTTGCAAGTTCATGATGAGCAGCATTAGGATGAGTGAGGCAGGTAAATCAGAGATATTCAGGTTGAGATCCAGCTTAGTGGAGCTTATGCTCTGATGAGGAAGATAAATGCACACTCAAATAACAACTCTAGACAACATTCAGTTCAGTTCCGTATTTATCAAATGCTGAAAGTGCATTGTGCAATATTGAAAATAGACAAAGCTAATCCTCATGTTCAGGTGGGAGGAGCATATCTCTAAGTTCTAAGCACATTGGGGGGTGGAGTGAACAAAGAAATAACTTCAGGGATGGACTTGGGAAGGGTCTGAGTTGGAGTTATTATAAGTAGCTAGGGATGTATGCAGTATTAGCATCAAGATGTTTAAAGGAGGGGAAGTGGAAAGCCTTTGCACATCAGGGAGAGGAGGTTCCTGGCAGACACACTGGCATGTACCAAGGAGCAAAGAGTGGTGTGCTCAGTGTGCACACCAGGATCACCAAATGGCCAAAGTGATGAAGCAAAGTGGGTAGATGTCTGGGTTTGTGTGTGACGGTGTGGCTCAGTCACACAAAACTCTGTGCAACTTGCCAAGTCTTTACTTGTGATGCGCATTGAGCGAGGAGGATCTGGAACATTGCTGCTGGAGTTACGGAGTCAGGCATAATGGATGAAGGTAGGGTGGGGAAAAGACAGAAAAACATGAGCAGTACCATGACAGTTCCAGAAGGACCTTCCTGATAAGCAGCTTGTGAGGGGAGTCCAGGTAGAAGAGGCTATGCTGGAGTGGCCCAGATGAAGGGAAATCCTTCTGGGCAGAGAGGGGAACCCTAAAGAAGCATGTTCTACCCCAGTGCTGGAAGAGAAATGGCCTCTGAGGATTAAGAAGGATGCATTCTGTGGCTTTGGGAAAAGACTTGCGTTTGTTCACTGTCCAGCAGAAATGAGTACTTTCCATTTTGCATGAATCTTCAGTTAAGTTTTCACCATTAGGCCCTAATTATTTATAGTTTGACCTGTAACCACTGAATAGGTGTTTTACTTTTACTTTAAAAACTAGAAAACAACAACAACAAAAATTTCGTTTTTGTGTGCTGAAACATTAAAATTAGTATGGCATTTTTCTGTGAAACAACCTTAACAGAAGCTCCTTAATATTGAATATTATTCTGGAATGAATATGTTCAGCAAGAAGGAAAATGGGCTAATCAGAATCTTTGCTCAAGTCCTCATATGGCTTTCCTGCTTATATTGTTATACTAGCCAAGGTTCTCTATAGAACAGAACCCATACAAGAAGATAAATACAAACATAGACATAGACATAGACAGACATAGACATGGAAGGTTCTCTAGAGGAACAGAACCAATACAAGTACATAGACATTGACATTGTAGACAGAGACAGAGAGATAGAGACAGCCAGAAAGGTTCATGAAGAGCTCCTGGCCCTCAGTCAGTCATAGAGACTTTAAACACTGAAATCAGCAGCAACAGCAGCAGCATGATGAATCCACTTAGGGAAAAAGGGAAGCCAATCAAGCAAATCTGGCCTTCTACCAGAAGGATTTGGCATGAGTCTTCAGTTCTTTACATGAGGTTCCATACTCAAGTGATTCTAACTTGTGGCAAGCTTACATCAGAACCAATCATCACAGTTGCTTTTTTCCACATGTCAATTAAAGTAGCACAGTGGAGAAAGACACATTTAGAGTTCTCTTAATAATACTAGAGAAAGACAAAGAATTTGTCCTAGTTCCTGGCATCAGCTAAATGTGAGGGAGGTATTGTGTTTAACACAGAAATACAGATCTTCATAGCAAGTTATGTTCTATAGTATTTTCTATTTTGTTTTTTTTTTAATGTATATAAGCTTATTGTTCTTTGTTTTAATACTTTACAGAAAAAATGGCATCATCAAAAAACACCCAGGCATCTTTTCCACCTGTGGGCAGCATCCCTAAGCGGCCTGTTATTTCAGAGGCTTCCAACAGCAATTTTGGAGTTGTGCTTACAGACTCCTCTAGGCATAGTGGAGGTAGAGTCTTTATCTTCTTTGTTTATAAATGTCACTGTCCTGTTTCACTTTCCATGGATAGGATAGAATGGGACATTGTTCATTTAGGTTCTACACTGCATAGCTATTTTGTGCATGAGAGAGAGAGAGAGAGAGAGAGAGAGAGAATGAGTGTAGGTCTGAAGTTAATGCTGGTGTCTTCCCTGATCACGCTCCACTGTATATTCTGAGGCAGAGTTTCTCCCTTGCTTGGGGTTGATTCTGGTTAATCTAGCTAACTGGCTTGCTAGGCAAACCCTGTCTCTTGTTTGCTGAGAGCTGAGATTCTGGGGTCTGCCATAACTACCTGGCTGGACTGTGAGTTTTGGAGATCCCAAATCTGGTCCACACTTGCCCAGCAAATGCTTCTGCAGATGAAACCATGTCTCTAGCCCAAGCATTGCTCTTTCAGATCCCATTTCAACTATTAAACACTAGCAGTCTAGTGCCACAACATGATAAAAACGTTCTACAGCTAAGTCTTCATAATTCACAAAGATTTTCTCCCTTCTCTTTGGCAAGAAAATAATTTATATTTTGAATTTTGAAAGTGATTCTGCGTGTGTTTGAGTGCATGTGATTAGTTATCTAAGTGTGTCTTATGTCTGTATCAGTGATAGATTATTTTGCTAAAAGATTATGTGTCATATTTATGTGTCAACTGCTTTTATTGCTATACTTAATTAATCTTATGGAATTGAAATGGGCGGTAAAATGTCTTTGTGATTTTAAATTTAACATTTTATTAACTCTAGCCTAACGTGGTTGTGTGTGTGTGATGCTGGGGGATTAAACACAGGGCCATGCGCATGCCAGGCAAGTGTTGTGCCACAGCGGCACACCCTGTTATCAAGCCATTTTTGGTAATTATGATAAGTCAGGACATCTAGGGAACACTTAACAGCTTGCTACTATGATCCACGAGTGTCCATACTTCCCTTTTACATTTGTATAGTTCACTGTGAATTGATCTCATATAAAAACTGATCCTAGTTCTCTGAGCTGCCCTCTTCAGTGTTGTGAACCTTACTTAGCTGAAGACCCCCACTTTAAAGCTGCTGTTGGTTACTTTAAGCACACTACCTATGTGAATATCAGTGCTGTGAGCGTGAAGACATCCTTAGACTATTCACTTAACTCAACATGTAGAAGTCAGTAACTGCCAGCACAGCAGGGATAAAATAGTCCTTGCTCTCAAGGATTTAAAGTATAGAGGATGATTCAGACATCTGAACACACACACCTGTGAGTTGACTGCTAAAAAGAAGAGAGCTAAACCCATAGCAACAGAATAGATAATATGCACAGCCATGCCAGTGACAGCCAGCTTGTCCATTCTGCCTATGTTTATACTCCTGGTGTTCTGGGATCCGAGGAGAGATACCCAGTTCATCTGCTTGATACAGAGGAGTCACATAGTGTTCACAGGGCTGCTGGGCAACTTGACCTAAGCCCCAGAAGACAAGAATGATGCTTCCAGATGAAGGAACAGGAAAGGCAAAAACACCTTCTATAGCAGATGGACAAGTGACACATCGCATTCAGTGTAGAGATTAGATTTCATTTAGTGTGGCATTGTTGTTGGAGATGATGATAGTGTAAGGAAGCAGATAGATGCATTCATGCTACCCACTCAAAAAAAAAAAAAAACCTAAAAGATTTTAAAGAGGAAGAAATGCAAAAGATGCACCTAGAGAAATATGAAGCTGAAACCAGTGAATGAAGGCGAAGGAGGATGTAGCTCAGGAAGCTCGGGCGTGGGCTGCAAAGAACCTTTTACAAGATGGGTGGGTGATCAAAGACTGTAGGTAAAGATTACTTTGAATTCTCCAAGCTGAAATACGTATATAAAATTATTTGCTTGCTGCTTATAACAAGCTTACCAGGAGGAGAGCATGTCTTCTTTCCAGATAAGGAAACAGGCTGTGAGGTTTCAGTGTGATAGGCGGGGGTGGAGCTGCTGCTGCTATGGTTGCAGAGGCTGACTGTGTTCCTCTCTCCTCAGTAACTTTCTTTCCTATTTGACCTGTGGCATTTGGTGAGTTTGAATCTTGCATAGTCACTCTGAGAAAGTCACTCGATTTTCTGTAAAGATCTGCATTAACATTTCTGCTCATTCTGTTTCCATTGCTTTCTAGTGGAAAGGAATATAGTAAGTATCACCCAGTTGCCTGCTAATACCTGCTCCTGTTTATCCTTTAAGCCATTTGCTTTGTAAAACACCCTGGCTTTCTGCACACAGTGTGACTTCCTTCGTCCTTAGAAGTGAGGGTTGAAGAGATACTGGATAAGTTGCTTGAGAGCATAGACTCAGGAGAAAGACAGGCTTCCTTCCTTAGTGTCTTCACGAATTCTGTCATCATGGCTCAGGTTGCCCTTCCATGTCCATTTAAAAACTCAGCTGCACACCAAAAGACCCACTGGCCAGCTGAGAACTGAATGTCCACAGAATCCACAAGTGGCCGAAGTGAAAGCAGAATGGCAGCTTACGGGGGTTCAGTTAACTATTTTGTGGGCCCTCCTTAGGACTTCCGAAGAAATCCAGACTGCTTATTCAGCAAGGGAATTTAGGCCTCTGATTTCAATGCTGGTGACCTCACTCCCGATGTTTCCATCTGCCACAGGGTCTATTCCTTCTAACCTGTGGCATAGGACAACACCTGTGCCTTGGCAGTGTTCCCTGCAAGCTGTTGGACATGATTCTCTGACCCACTTTTCTATATGTTGGTGTCATCTTCCTGTGGCACTGTTCCTGTCTTCCTCATATCCTTTCCCTTTCTTGTTACCTTGTTAGTATTGATTTTGTCATATTGTATCCATACATGTGCTCACAGACTGTTTCAAAGCAGCTATTCCTGGGGTTTTGAGGCATACTAAAGGAGGGTAATAGTTAACAATGTATCAGTAGGTTGTTGGTTTGTTTTATGTAATTTGGAAAACATTTCAAATAACATTTGTGAGAATTATTTATATACCATAACCAAAAACATGTAATTACTTGTACACTGCTTTAGTCATAAATCTAAAACAGGAGCAGAAACTATCATATTCATTAACTTTCATTCTTTGTGAGTTAATTATCATATCTGTAATCATTTAACCCTTCCTTCCTCCCTCCCTCCTTCCTTCCCTCTCTCCCTCCTCCTTCCTTCCTTCCTTCCTTCCTTCCTTCCTTCCTTCCTTCCTTCCTTCCTTCCTTCCTTCCTTCCTTCCTTCCTTCCTGTTTCCTGTATTTCCTTCCTTCTACATCTTATTTCCCATCAGCTTTTAAAGAGAACAGAGAGTCAGGTTTTAATTGTAACAATGGCAAAAAAAAAAAAAAAAATTGCTCAGGGACCTTTAGCACAGGGTTTGGAATTTAGGTTACCCCTCTTTCTGATACCGTGGTGATAGTAAAATAAATGTTCCAACTTTCAGTCCCAGAGGCACCGGATCGGCCTACTATCTCTACAGCATCAGAGACCTCAGTCTATGTAACTTGGATTCCCCGGGCAAATGGCGGTTCTCCAATCACTGCCTTCAAGGTGGAATATAAACGGATGAGGAGTAGTGATTGGCTGGTGGCTGCTGAAGATATCCCTCCCTCCAAACTTTCTGTGGAAGTACGCAGTTTAGAACCAGGTGATAATACTTTTGTTGTTGTTGTTGTTAAAGTAATAATCAAATGCTTATTTTGAAAATAAAATATGAAGAAGAGAAAAACTATCTGAACTATACTCATGCATAGACAGTGTTTATAATTTGGTATATTTCTTCCTAGCCTTTTTTTCCCCTCTGTGCACTTATATGCCCTGGAATCTTGCCATAAATACAGTTTTGCATCCCTCGTTTTATGTCTAACTTTATAAGTATAAAGTATATCATACTCTGCTTAACTATTTTTGTTGTTTTAGTGGTGGAAATTGAATCCAAGGCCTTATGCGTGCCAAGTAAGCACTCTGCCACTGAGCTACATCCCCACCCCTCAATTGTTCTTCATTCCTAGATTTTAAATTGTTTCTCCAATCCCATTACCCCCAAAACTTGAGGCTGTTAAAAAGTTTATCAGTAAAAGAAAAAAAATGTGTGAATAAACTTATACTTTTGTTTGGGCTCATGACCACTTTTGCTCCTGCAGTTTTGAATATTCGCAAGTGTAGCAGATGTTTGTGTCTAATTATATTGGGAGAAGGCAGCAGTTTTAGCTAGGGGTGGAACTAAGTAGTATATTTTTAGACTGAAAACCTTCCAGTGATTGTATTTGAGTGATAAGAAAACTTTCTTTAAAATTTTAATTTATTCTTTAGATGCATCATAGCATTATTACAGGACTTTTTCTTTTTTTTTTTTTTTTAATATTTACAAGTGTTTTGTTTTTGTGCCATACCCCAAGGTTCAACATACAAATTTAGGGTCATTGCTATCAACCATTATGGTGAGAGTTTTCGGAGCTCGGCATCCCGTCCTTATCAGGTGGCTGGCTTCCCAAATCGTTTCTCCAACCGCCCAATAACTGGACCTCATATTGCATACACAGAGGCTGTCAGCGATACTCAGATTATGCTAAAGTGGACGGTACGTAAGTGAGCTTCTTATTAAGAAGATTTTGTGTCAGCAGTGTAATCTTCTTGTGATGGGACACTATAAGCTGTTTAACTTTTAATTGCAGGGAAATAGAAAGGTACTGATGCTTATCTAAAACACATTCTAAGAGACAGGATTAAAATAAAATTATTATTTTGCTCTCATCCAAATGTTGTTAACAATTAACATTTTATGATTTGTGGAGGAATTTGAATTCAACAATGTGGCTGCTTTAGCAAGGGATCACATCTAAAGACCTTCTAGGTCTATGTGATCTGGATGGAATGAAAACATGCCCACGATTACAGTCTGATCCAGCTGGAATACAGATATGCCCTTAGTATATACACTTTTAATCTCAAACAAAAGTAAGATTAGTTTGTAGAAGGAAGCAGACATGTTTGAAAGTAACGTCTGATTGAATCAGAGAAAGATTTGACAGAATGAGTCAGAAATAGGATATACCCAACTCTCACAAAAACAGAACAGGAAAAAGAGTTGAGTTTGGTGAAGTTCATTTGAGTGCAGTTAGTATAGTCAGTACAGTTAATGCAGAGACAGTTTTTCCAAGCAGAGCAATTCAGTCAGAAGCCAAGAGAAGCTGGACTGAATCAGTCAGCTCAGAATGGAGTTTGAGCCAGAACAGCTGAGTTGAAACAGCCAGCCAGAGTTCAGGAAGTGCTAGATAAGGTTAGCTTATTCAGCAGTAAGTCTAGAAAACATTCTAGGCCTAGTTTAGCAGACAAGGCTGAAATTGAAGCCTTCAAGATCCAAGCTCATAGAGATTAGAGTGTAGGAGGCTAGAAGCCTCCAGGCCTAGGCCCCGGATTAGATAGAAGAGAGGTATCTCTGGGCTTAGCCTAAGATATGAATTGTCAAACTTGGGTAAGGTCTACCCTCATCTTAGGAAATAAAAACATCTACAGTGACTTATTCTTTTTGACCCAGTGTACATTTATTTTTGAAGCTAATGAAATGTATGCTGTTTTATTTTTGTTTAGTTCTGTAGTAAGCTAAATGCTCAGATACCTTTGAATATCTCTGAATCAGGCTAAAAAATGGCCACTGCATATATTGCAAAACAAAGCTAGAGAAACATCATCATAGAGATAAGGAAATTTAGGCATTACTTTTATTTTTGCCTTTGACAAGTCTTTGCTTCTGTTTTCTAGTATATTCCATCAAGTAACAATAACACTCCCATTCAAGGATTTTATATCTATTATCGACCAACAGATAGTGACAATGACAGTGATTATAAGAGGGATGTTGTTGAAGGTGAGTCCCTTGGTTGGCTGGGGCCCCTGTAAAGGTGCTTTTATGGGGAGGGGCTAGACATCCTGAACCTGTCATCATAGGCTTGGAGTGAGTTAGAATTGAGCTATTGAATTTGTTCCAATGCTTCTTTGACCCATCTACTGTGAGAATGAAGACCATTCTCAGCGGTCAAATGGTCGACAGCCCAGAAAATGTCGGCACCACTTTGAAGGGGTTCACAGTCATTGAGGCCCCAGGGGAACCCTGCAGAGGGACTTCAATCACATCAGTGTAGAGCTGAGTCTTTTGGGAAGAAAAAGAAGAGGCTCCGGGATGACAAATGGTGGGGTAGCAGAAAGGAACTGGCCACTGTCAGAACCACCTGCAGTCATGTTCAGAACATGATCAAGGGTGGTTCGCTGGGCTTCCGCTACAAGATGAAGTCAGTGTATGCGTACTTCCCCATCAATGTCGTTATCCAGGAGAACAGGTCTTTGGTTAAAACCCGAAATTTCTTGGGTGAAAAATATATCTACAGGGTTCGAATGAGAACAAGTGTTGCTTGTTTTGTTTCTCAAGCCCAGAAGGATGAATTAATCCTTGAAGAAAATGATATTGAACCTGTCTCAATTTCAGTGGCTCTGAAAGTTTGATTTGGGGTGTCTTTGAGAACAGTAAAAGACTTATCTTGAAAAAAATTTGTTCTAATGAAGCCAAAATTCCCCAGATCTCTCTCTCTCTTTCCCTTTCTCTTCCTTCTCTCTCCTTCCTTCTCTTTCTCTTCCTTCCTCCCTCCCTCTCTCTCTCTCTCTCTTTCCCTCCCACCCTCCCTCCCTCCAGTGGCCTAATTTTGTTGCAGAGGCAGTTATAAACGTATGAGAGAAGATGACTTGTCAATGGTTCATCTCAAAAAGATTTTGACTTTTTTTTTTAATGACCACTGACCTGAATGTTGTAACTTCTTACTAAAGTCTTGTTCAAATAGTTTGTAGACCTCTGTACTGGGACAATCACATTTTAAGCATGCTACCTACTTCTAGAGCTGTTGAGAAGCTAGAGTGTTCTGTAGAAGAAATAAGAAACAGCCCAGGTTTGAAGGGCATCAGTGCTGCTCCTCTGCTGGCTGATGGCTGCTATGACCTGTTTGGTCTCATCTCCACCCTTTGCCTTCTACATCTTTTCTCATCGTGGACACCAGCCTCAGGTCCTTGGTGCAGGATGGCTCCTGCCGCCCACCATTCCCCTTTCCTAACAGTTTGCGTGGGTATTCTCACTCTTTTCTGGGACTTTGTATGCCTTTTCCTCAGGCCAGATCTTCCCTGAAGTTCTAACCAAAATTAAACCCTTTGTGTTTATTTCATAGCATTTAATCAAAATATAGATATATGAGTATATGAAATTATATGCTCCTCTTACTAAATATTTACTTCCTTTGGACATGGGATCTTAATTCCCTCTGCTGTGTTCCCAGACCCTTTGGTGGTGAGGCATTTGGTACTGGATGAATCGATGCACTTGTGAATGGAGTAAAAATAAATAAATAAAAAAGCAGTGGGCATCTGTCACTGCTTGGGCTGAAAACAAAAAACAACATGAGAGTTGTGTTCAAACTGGCAGACATTTGTGTAGGAAGGAAGCTGCTTCAGTCAAGACAGGTGGTTATAAGAAAATGAAATAGGGAAGACCTTTCTAACACAAATGTCTAGATTCTCTCACAGGGTAATAGGTTCCCTGAGTCTGGAAGCAAGTACAAGCCAGATGCTTGATTCTTGGTGATATCTTAGATGGGATTTTTTTAAAACCTTAGGTGGAACCATGTTTATTCATGTTGAGGGAGCATCTTTGCCATTCTTTGTGCAGATAGCCAAAATGCTGACAGAAGAAGAGGGGATGTGGCCTCTTATATGGGTAGAAATGACCTCTGTAGTCTGCAAGGGAAGATGGGAAGCGTAGTCCTTCAGCAGGAAACTGGCATTGCTAACTGTGAGAGGATATAAAAATGTATGGTAGAGGCATTATAGCTGTTTTTTGTTTGTTTGTTTTTGCTGAGGACGGTCTTTGTGGGAGAGGGTAGTTCTGGGTCCATCAGAGAGGGAGTCCTCTGGTCAAAAGGAGAGTCTTAAACTTGATCCATTGCGATGGTTCAGGTGATTGCCATGCTATATTCAGCAGTCAGAGCTACTGCAGCAGTCAAGGAGTCCAGCTGGTCCTGAAGGATGTTAAGCTGATCTGAGCGCCTGCCAAAGCCCTTATGCTCCTTGTTGGCTTCAAGGTAGGAGCACAGGTGCTGGCTCTGGAGTTCCCTATCTGGATAGAGACTAGATTCTATTCTCAAAGCACCATGAGTGAGCCCAGGTCGGAGGTATTCTCTTATCTAAACAAGAGTTGAATCTAAGTTACATACCTGGCATGTTATAGCAAATTAATGAAGATGGTGGCTAAGTCACATGGCTTCAAGATGGCAGCAAGCCACATGGTACTCCCTTAGATGGATTCTTGGTGTGGGAAAAAAAAATTATTCCAAGCTCTGTTTTCAGACCATGAGTCTGAATGTCTTGGTTGGATATATAGTTCAGTGGTAGAACATGTGCTTAGTAAGTTCTAGGCTCTGAGTTTTCTCTCTCTCTCTCTCTCTCTCTCTCTCTCTCACTCACACACACACACACACACAATACATTCCTGTATACATAAATACATATTACAAGAAAACTTGTCAGAAAATTGCCCTAGGCCTAGGATTTACCATATGACTTCCTGCCATTAAATACATAGTGTTTTAAAAAATTAGTTAGTATGCTCTATCATATCAAATACTTTTGAGGTTTTATTTTTATCTTATATATATATAATGAATATTTTGACTGCATGTATGTTTGTGTATTGTGTGTGCCTGGTGCCTAAAGAAGTCAGAAGAGGGTGTCAGAGCCACTGGCACTATAGTTAGTTCTAAGCTGCCATGTAGGTGCTGGGACCAAATCAGGTCCTCTACAAAATGAGCAAGTGCTCCTGACTGTTGAGCCATCTTCCCAGCCCCTGTAGGATTTCTTTTAGTAATTATTCAGTAGAGTTACTTTTGTAACATAATAAGAACTTTACAGTCTGAGTATGGTAGCTGCACAGGACTACTCTTTAAATGAAGGAATGATTCTTTCTCCTTCTCTGTAATTTTCAGCGGCACACTTATTCTGTGCTCTCAGAAGGCAAGGCAGTGGCCATCGTGAGGGAGAGAAATGACACAAGGAACACAGGAGACAGTGGAATGGCAGCAGGGCTCTCTTCGGTTGTCTAGACACCGGCGCCTTGGGCGTTTGGCTTGGGAACATTCAGCGCACTGCACATAATGTGTGTGGCTCTTCAGCTTGCATACTTTCTGTCAATCAAAGGCTGTAGGAAAAAGCAGAAAGATAATTATGACTTCTCCATTTTGTTCTGCCCAAGTTTTCGTTTTAGTTTAGATGATTTAGAAGAATGGGGATATCAGGTTTTTATTTTTAAAACTCTTGACATTGGTTAAACATTTGGCATAAGATGGTTCTAAACACAGCAGATGTTGAGTGACGTGAATAGCTCTCTGTGTCTGTCCCTCTTCCTCGCCTTCCTGCTTGTACTTTCTAGGAATCCCTGTGGGTTAGCAGTTTTTAAACTGTGCTCTTTAGAGGAATCTTTGAAGTTTTACAAACCGCTGTGAACTGAATGTGAGCCTGGGACTTGAAGAGAGTTTAACAACACTTCATGTATAGCGGTGCTCACAGACGGGAGTTTCCATTGGTTCTCCTCAAGCTTGTTTATAAATGCATCACACTGAGCAGTTAGATGTTTAAGTGGGATCCACTGTGCTGTGTAATTTGCTTATTCTTTATATTCAAGTTTATTCATTTGAAATTCTTTTGGTGGTAATGGAGGCTATTGGTCTATTCTCCTAAATCCAAGGACAAAATGCTCATTTAAAATACATACCTAAAATTTTCTTTAAAGATTTGATCACTTTTATGCATATTGATTCAAAATTTAGATCTCTCTCTCAGTGAATCAATGGTAAAGGCTGTAAGAACACTCACATTTCTTATATTGTCTGATCTTCTAATTCTTTGCTACATTTAGATAAACTACAAATGTTCTCAGCCTGCTAGTGTTTTTGTATGGAATATTTTTATTGTGTTAAGTGGAGTTCCAGAGAAATCAGTGTATAAAGTTATTCTGCTCTGTAGTTCTAAGCCTGAGGCTTAGCAGAGGCTGTACACTCATTGATTGGGTTTAGACTCAATAGGGCACATAGCTATCTCACTTATCAAATATAGACATTCCTTTTCTTTGCTGACCTGTAGTTTCTGCTTTCTTTTGGAAAAATTGGACACAACAGTGAAATACAAATCCAAGGTGTATATTGTAACTCTTTCTCCTAAAAACTATTCAGAAGCTTCACCCCCTGTTACTTGTTCTCTGCAGTGAATACTCTGGGTCTAATCGAGATGTTTATAGCTAGGTGCAGAACCAAGAAAGCCCAAAAGCTAGAGAGAAATAGACTTAGGAGATATTTTTTGTATTTTAGAAACAGGCCCATTCTAGCTCCAGCCAGTTCTTTAGTGAAGAAAAAAAAAACAAACAGGAAAATTAAACTGGGAGGGGGGGTCTCTTTACAGGTATAAGAAGTCTAGAACCCACTCCTGGAGCCTCTCAGGACAAGTGTATTTTCTCCCCTGTGAAATGCCAGTCTGTGTGAACGAGGAGTTTTTGTGCTGGTGACTTGAAAAGGGGCTGGAATGTTTATGTCTGTGTTGGGAAGGAGCCTGTGATACTGGTTCTGTCAGTATTTGACTTATGCCTCTGGTGTGGGTTTTTTTTTTTTTTTTTTTTTTTGGTGTGTTTTTTTTTTTTTTTTTTTCTATCCCCTTAATTAATTCTTAAATCGGTCAGTGGTATGCTTGGATTTCTAAGAAACATTGGAGACAGTCTGAAGAGTCGTTTTCTAGAAGAGATTAAGAGTACTTGAAGAGTTAATTAAATCTGGCAAAAGTGTCCCTGTTTATGAAAGTTTGTCACAGATCCATGAAAGTGAAAACAGAGGGTGATTTACACCACAGTGCTCAGTTTGGGAGTGTTTCTAAATGAAACGTTGGCCTCCTGCCACAGATAACAGAATCCTAATAGTGGAGACACTTGTATGATTCTGAGACTGACTCAAAAGAAGTGGCCTCGGGAGCAGTGGCTAAGGATTTCTACAGCAGAGCTTGCCTTCTGTGGCTCCTCAGCAGTTTATTAAAGTGCTTGACGGTCTGTCGGCCCATGATGTGTTTGTAGCAATGGAAGAAACTTCTGTGAAAGCCTCTGCAACAGGTCACCTTCTTAACATCACACACTATTTGCTATCTCATTAGCACTGTGACGTTTTAGTGGGTAGGCATAATGACTGGATTTGCTGGGCTGAAATGAGATTTGAGATGTTTTTCCCCTCTGCATGTGTACTTTATTAGAGACTTACCACTAATTTTTAATAAAACCAGTGTTGCTATCAGTACACAGACAACCTTTAATTGAGTTTATCTCTTCACCTCTTTTACGTACCACTTAGTAGAAATGTTGTTCATCCATGAAACAGTAGCAAATAAAATACTTACATGGAGTATATTTTTATCTCACAAGCTGTATGAAATGGTGAGGGATGCTGTAACTCTTGTTCTGAAAATGCTAAATGAGCACGCAAGTATCATCGAGGCTATGTGATGTTTCCAGCTTGTCTCTCATATGTCTTTTCTAGGTTCAAAGCAGTGGCACACAATTGGTCACCTGCAGCCAGAAACCTCTTATGACATTAAGATGCAGTGCTTTAATGAAGGTGGGGAGAGTGAGTTCAGCAACGTCATGATCTGCGAGACTAAAGGTAGGAGAGGTGTGGAAGTTTGCGTTTCTTCCTGGCCAGTTCTTAAAATTCCAAACTCAAAGTATGTCTTAGAATTATTGGCATATTTATATGTGGAAATTTCTGCTAGATGGATGCATTTAAACTGCCCCTATAGAGTACCTTGTGTTGTCTAGGGCATTTATCTAAAAAATTGTCTACGTGAGCATTTGTGGTATCAAGGAAAACTAGGACCTCAGTTCCTTCTGAGTCAGGTATCCAGGCACTCCCCTGTAGGTTCTTTCTCTTTAAGATCTCACTGCCTCTTAACATGGCCACAATAGGGACCAAGCTTCCAGCACATGAAGACTTTGGTGGCTACACCCAAGCCCTAGCAATCTGCTTAAAATAGTCTTGAATAGCAGGTTCATATACTAGCTACATGTTTACATATGTACTGTATTAAGTTTAAGATATCAGTCACAGATTCTAAGTTGTCATTCTCAACTCTGCCTATATACACAGAGAATGCCTACAAAAAGATCTTTAAAAGAAAACACCACATGAGAATAGAGGAGGTACTAATCTGAATGTTTATAAAGCAGGAGTAGACGTCTTTATATCACCTTGAGGCTTTGCTCAACTGTCTGGAACACCAAAGTCCCTGCTGGAGATCTCAATTGTCCCAATGCTTAGTAAGAAGTAGGGAACCAGATCTGTGGTCATTTAGGAAGTTCTGTGTCTTCTCTTTCCTCTTTGCCTTCTCCTGGATGTCAGTGGGGACTTGAGTGCAACACTGCTCATAGTGAGCCAGGGATCTGGCTTTCCATGTAGGCATGTTGAGATCCAGTATTGCCTTTTTATTTTAAGTTTACCATCATTATCATCATAATTATCATCATCATCATTTTACACAGGGTCTCATGTATGCCAGACTAGCCTCACACTCACTATATAGCTTTGAACTTCCAAGCCTCCTTCCTAAATGCTGAGATTATAGGCATACAGCATCATAATCAGTTTATGTGGTTCTGGGGCTCAAATCAAGGGTTTGTACGCTATATCCACAGTCCTTAAGAAGGAACCTTTAAAGAAGACTTAGGTACCATGGAAGAAGGAAGTTGTTGAATATTCAGGGTAGCGGTCAGTGCCTGCTACAGTTGTTTTTATTTGAAATTGAGGGAATGAATAAAACAAGGAAACAAAGACTCGGCATTGAATTGGAAAGCCAGGCTTAGTTCCCTCTTATAAATTCTCAATCATGTGTCTTTTTGCTGAAAAACTCTCCCATTAAAATCCACATTAAACATCTGTTCACCTAAACCTGATCTTGAATTTCATTTGGGTAGCATATATCAGAATACCTCTCTGAAGCAGATACTGTAATGGACTCAGGAGGATCTCTTGCTTGTATCTAGAGTGCTGTGATCCTCACAGTAAATAAATGAAGTATGTAATCTCTCTACTCAAGACATTAAAAATCTTACCAGGCAGAGCTGGAGAGGCTGCTCTTTTACAGAGCACAGCAGTTGGTTCCCAGCATCTATGTCACCTGGTTCACACGTGCTATAACTCCAGCTCCAGAGGATCCAACTGGCTTCTGAGGGGCATCAGAAAACACATGTGCACACACACACATACCTGTGCATACATCTTACCAGGCGCAATATGAAACAGTACTGGTTTAGAGTTATAGCTCAGAGGGTACCTGCTTAGCATGTAAAAAGTGGTGCATTACATCCCCGGCACTGCCAAAAAGGAAGAGACTGAAACAGTGTCGTAATGTGTGTTCCAGTCTTATAGCTGTGTTCAGAATGGCACACTTCATTATCAGCTGTAGTTTACAGCTGGTGGAAATTTATTGACTGGAGCCCGGGAGGACAGAGCATAGTGCTTACAGCGCTTACAGCGAGGGCCTCCAATGGTGGAAGAGCAAGTGAATGGGACCAAACAAAAGGGTCCAAATTCAAACCCATTTTTATATGACCAACCCACCTTTAGAATAATGACGTTGATTTTTCAGTGGGGATAAAGTCCTTACAACCTAATCACCAATTCCACTTCTTTATGTTGTTAGCATGGAGGTTACATTCCTACAAGGGTTTGGAGACAGCCAAACAAAACATAGCACTCTTCCTTACAGCCTTAAGATGGAGCTCTTTTGTGTCTCTCTGTTTTCTGAACACAGAAACAGGTTTGTGGAGGTGAAAGTGATACAAGTGGTAGGGCTTGGTTTATACCTAGGGATCCTGGCATACGGGAATGGGCTGTAGGTCACCATACTCAGCTTATGACAGAGTGGGACTTAATTATGACGTGTAGAGCAGTAAGAACACGGGACTTGCAGGTGGGAGAATGAAGTTTGCATCACACTTGTTAAATATCATTTGTGATCACAGTTGCTCAGGATAACCAAGAAGTAGCTAAGAGACAGTTGACTCTAGTAGGCTTCATTGGGGATGCTTATAGGATGCATGTGGGGTTTGTAATTGCTATAGTAGTTCAAAGGTAATTGTTTAATGTTGATAATTCCTTTTTTACATGGTAGAATAATAAAACACTAATTCCAAGTCTTATTCAGAGGGAAATATATCACATAGAAAGAGGGGTTTTGTTTGTTTTTGTTTTTGTTTGTTTGTTTTCTGTCCATAAGTTGAAGTATTTTATTTCAACCCTGGGAGTTTTCTGCGAATACAGTTCAGCGGATCATCATACAGCTGTTTAGGTCAAACCAATTTGTATGTTTCTTGGCTCTTAGAATTTCTCAAAAATTTGTGAACCAAAACTTTGGCAGATCAGAATTTCAGATTTGGATCCCTCTCTATGACTCATTGGTGGTCAGATCGTCTCTGTGAGGAGTCTAAACAGACCGGCTTGCATTTCTAGCCAGACCTCCTTCAGAGAGTCTATTTCGTAAACTCTGCATTCACTCTAACTTAATTTTTTTTTTTTTTTAATATTTCATCCAGTGAAGCGTGTTCCTGGAGCTTCAGAGTATCCCATGAAGGAGCTGAGTACCCCTCCCAGTTCTTCAGGAAATGGAGGGAACGTGGGGCCTGCAACCAGCCCTGCCAGGAGCAGTGATATGTTGTACCTCATCGTTGGCTGTGTGCTTGGTGTTATGGTCCTCATTCTTATGGTTTTCATTGCACTGTGTTTGTGGAAAAGTCGCCAACAGAATGCCATACAGAGTGAGTCATTTATAAGTATTTCCTTGTATTTTTGTAAAGATGGGTAGAAAAAATATTGTCAGAATAAATATTGATTCATAACACTCTCATGTATTTGTGCCATGGAATGAAAGCTCTTAGATACTCTCCACTCAGGGGAGGTGACTTTACAACCATTCATGCTGCCAGCCAAAGTAAGTGGAGCATCAAATTAAATTGCCCAGTAGAAGTAAACACCAAAGTCAAAGCTAAGCAGGTCTCTGAGTAAACAGAGCTGTCTTGGTGCTGGGAAAGCCTGGCTTTGTTGGACCACCAAAGAGGATGAGTGCTTGAACATCAGTTCTGGAATCACTGTAGCAATGTCTTCATATTGGTGCAAGTCTAGTCAACAGGAAACAGAAATGGCTTGATGGAAAGGAAGGTAGTGAAGAGTGTTCTGAGTTACTGTCATTGGGTGTCATGAGCGGAGATAACGTGTGCCTGCGTCTGTAACTGCTCTACCCAAAGGACTCTGTATATTGCCTCACAAATACCAAAAGTAAGAGGTGTGATTGTAAGGCTCATGATGGTGTTGTTTCAGTACCAACATCCTTCCTGTCCTGTTCCCCACTATTTGAAACACTATGACCAAATCAAGCAGAGATATCAGATTTTGGTGAGGGAAAGATTCTCCTGTTTGGCTCAAGAATAAGGAAATAAAAGAAAAGCAAGAGGAAACCAATAGTGACAAGTAATTCCAGGAACCATTGTCCAATTCTTTTAAGCTCATGGAAAAAAAAAATCATCCATTTTGATTGGACAGCAACTTCCTAAAAAGACATGACCGGATTGGGGATGTTGGGCAGCAAAGTTTGTGCCATTTGATTGAACCATATTCTAAGTGGTTCTAACGTGTTATTTAAATTCTGAGTGTGTTGAATAGTAAAGCATTGTTGTAGTCATCTGAGCAAGACTGATCTGATAAGAAACCATTTTCCTTTGTGATGATAAATATCTTTACAAAATAAAAAGTCATCATGAGAGTGTTTATTCAGCCATTTATGCCACCAGATGAAACTCATTGTCTCCTGCTTGTCAGACCCTTTCCTAAACAATGGTGATAACTGATAAGACTATAGGGCCTCTGAAGGAGCACAGGTTAGGTACACAGGAGGATACACATCTGTGAGGAAAGCACAAGACAAGGAGAAGGAGAGGAGTGAGGGAGAACCAGGCAACAGATCGGGATAGTGTTGAGGCTAGGATTCTCAGGGGTATTGTAGTTTTTCCTAAATGTATCTGGCAGATGTGCCTCTGGAAATCAGAATTTGCTCAAGTGCTTTTAACATACGGGACAGAAGCGCCTTTTTTGCCTTTGGTACCTCACACCCCTGGCATACATGAAGACAGCAGGAGCTATTGAATAGCCAGCAAATGGACACTTATCACCCTGTTTTTACCTAGAAATGGTGCTTCCTGCTATTTAAAGCATTGTTTTTTTCACTCATTATTCTGACAGTTGTTTTGAACTCTTGAAGTACGTGGGAATCTAAGCACTCCTACTCAACCATTGCCATCATTTGGATGATTTGCTTCTTCATGATTTATTCCCTTGGGAGATATTTCTCCCTGTAAACTTTTCCTTCAGTTAGCAGAGTCACTGTAAAGATGTAACAGCAACAATTTAACCGAAGCTTTGTGAGAATAGTTCAGGCTTTACTTTAGTCTTGTTTGTAGTTTCTTAGTGATTTCATTAATAAAAGTTCTCAGCAGAAAGGTATTTTTCTTCAGTATCTGACTTTGCTTTTTCTTCTGGGCTTGTTTGTTCTTTTTAACAGAATATGATCCTCCAGGATATCTCTACCAGGGGTCAGAGATTAATGGACATCTGGTAGAGTATACCACGCTCTCAGGAACGGCCCGGATCAATGGGAGTGTTCATGGAGGCTTCATCAGCAAAGGCAACCTCAGCAATGGCTGTTCTCATCTCCACCATAAAGGCCCCAATGGAGTCAATGGCATCCTGAATGGAAGCATAAATGGAGGGCTTTACTCTGCACACACAAACTCGCTAACCAGGACGTGTGTGGAGTTTGAGCATCCTCACCATCTAATGAATGTAAGAGACCTCATTATAAATGATTGCTTCTCTGGGTGGCAGGGTAGCAGGATGAAAAGACTGGTGACTTTGACTTCTTTCTCTGTAAGCACCTCGTAAGTCATGCACGCGGGTATGCCATGTCTCTAGTAGCTCCAGATCCAGAGGAATCATTGGTTTTCTGACATCAGTAAAAGCTATATTTGCCAGCTTCATCTAGCTTTAAATTATTTACCACAAAGTAGAATGCAGGAAAGAACACATTGGAAGTTATTCTTGAGACAAAATGGAAACACTGCTGAGCAAAGACCAGGCATTTGATTTACTTGGAGCTGAGTCTGAGGACTCAAATGCTGTTAAGTCTGGCAGAGGGAAGACTGGACTGAAGCACACTGGGATGCCCTGTGGAAGGAAGTGGTGGCTGCTGCTCCCCCTTGAAGAAGCAAGTCCAGTTCTGTCCCTGCTACTGTAGTACACAGTGTAGGCCCTGGTGCTGCTCAGCTTCTTGACCTTTCAGAACACTTGTAAAATATAGGTAAAAATCTCCAGATGCTAGGATATTACTCAGATTCTCTATTCTGTGCTATTCTATTCTATATCCCCTATATTAGGCAAGTGTTCTACACTGAATAACACATCCAGCTTTATAAAGACCATGCAGATGATCTCCACAGGCTGATGACTCCTGAACCATCATGAGTTTGTTTTGTCTAGTATTTTCTTAAACCCTGTAACTTTATAAGCTTTTACATTTTAGAGTATTAGCATTCTTTAGCCACAGGAGTTCTGTTGCAAGCCCTTGAAACTTCCCTATTTGTGAGAAGGTTAGCACGTTTTGTCTTTTGTGATGGGACTAGAATGACTGGCATAGTTTAGATAATGTTGCTTATAGAGTTATTGCACAAAGAAGTTTGATCTATTATAGTCTCTGGCTGGGTATCCATATTATCTTTTAATCAGGTAATTTGTTTGGTTGATCAAGTTAAACATCGGTTTAGTTTTTACTATTATTCTGATTCAAAGACATTTGCTACAATCTGTAAAAGTTATCTTTCCATCTTCAATTTAGTAAAGATATTGGAATATTAGAGTTACAAAACAAAATGTAGGCATTCTTTTTTGGATTTTTATGTCTACCACCAATCCTCATTCCACCCTAATCCCTTCCAACTCCACAACTTTAGGAAGGGGTGAAAGAAGGTTAGAGGGAAAAAGAGGCCACAGACCTCTTTAGACTAATTCCTGCTGTTTAGGGGCATTGGGTTCCTTTGGGCAAGTCCAGTCTTCATTATCAGATTACCCAGCAATCCAGAAAATGCAACAGCAAACACAGCAGCAGCAGGGACCGGGTGGGGAGCCAGTGCACAGGACTCTCCCATTCATACCCTCTCCAGAGTCACCAGAATTAATCTATCTGCAGCTGTCAAAAACCACGGCTCTCAGAGCATGAGACAATCATAGTTAACGGCTATAGACAAACTGAAACAGCCAGGATTAAGACAGGAACATATTCATATAACATAACTGGGTTTTTAAAGAAACCAAAACTCTCACCACCACAAAACTTTAAGATACATTTATATCATAAAGCTAAAAACCTGTGGTTTTTGTGTGACTAAATGTTTATACATTCTACAAAGTATATTGTTACCAAAAGATAATAATTGCATTATTTTGTGGAACAACTCATGGCTTGCCTTCAGACTTTCTAAAAACTATTGCTAGTTCACTCCTACCTATCCTCAGTCAAGGAAGCTGACAGAGAAAGCATTCAACTTGGAACAGCACTGCTGTTCCTATGAGAAAGAACCCTAAGACTGATGCTTCCAACATGGATCTCTGGGTTTTCAGAGTCGACTTGCCATTTAAATGATAGCTGCCCCATCAGGTACACAGTTCTAGAAGTTGCCAGCTGTGATTCTAAACTCTTCATTTTCTTACTCTTCTAAAAGGGAAGAAATAAATAAATTAAAATTGTACTAGTGATCATGAAAATCACTGATTTGCCTTTGTTAAGTTCAGCAGCTCTTGTAACCGGCATCATTTTTCTAAACTCGTGGAGTCTGCACACATGGACTGACTATAGTCTAGGGATGTTCTCTCTCTGTTTTCCTAATCATTCCTGTTGTTAGGTGGATCAGGGTTACTGAAAGAAGTTTCTAGTCTTGGTTTGCTTAGGTACTGGCTGATGTTATAAGATAAATGAAATGAGAAGTAAAAGCAAAAGCAATTGCCTGAACCTTTTCTAACCTTGAAGGTCTGCTTGAGGTATGGGCGCCCTGTGACGACCCCTCCCACCCTTCACATTCAGCTCTGCTGTTTTTCTTCAGAACGCAGAACTCTGATTCTAAGGCCAGTCAGTCTTTAACTTCCTGTTTGCCATTCTGTATGTCAAGTGAACATTTTACAATGAGGTATGTGTTAATCTGGGCATTTTTCTTAATTGCCGAGGAGTTTCCGCCAAAAGCAACACCAGAATATTAATATTCCCTCCAAGTCATTGCTGGCCGAGAGTCCACTCCATCTGGAAAAATATGACGTTTTAAAACTGCCGTCCAGTGAACAGACCTAATCGAAATAATTACAGGAAAATGAAGATGGGTTGATCTTGTGACATCATTCAAACAAACTTTACACCCTGTCTCTCTAACTGGCATCACATAAGCTTTTTCCATGACTGCTAGAAAAGAAAACATGAGTCGGCGCTTATGATGTATAATATATCTTAAGGCATAAATTTGAAATACTAAAAGAAAGTGACTAACCTCCCTCCATTTACTTGCCTTTCTCTAGTACAGAAGTACCTGGAGGAATGTGGCAGTTCAGCTTTAGTGTACCACTGTGCAGGGCTCCCTTGTGAATACGTTTTACATTGCTCAGGCAATGTAATACTTGGAAATGTCCCACACACCCTTTTGTTATCGATGTGTATTTGCGTATTTGGCAAAGGTCTCTGGCTCCTTCAGCTTCTTCTCTTCTTTCTCCTTGAATGTTGCCCTGACCAGGGAGGAGGAATGTGCACAGCAGTCCCTCAGATGGACCCCTTGGGATGCCTTAACTGTCGGAACTGCCGGAACAACAATAGGTAGGTTAACTGTACCCAGCCACATTGCTGAGACCATTCTGTGTTGCTGCCTCATTGATTTCCTAAAGTTAGCCTCCTGCACACAACTCCACCATCCTCAGTGTAAAGCTATTGTTTTTTTAAATCTGCTATAATTGTTATTTTTTCTGTGCCTCAGTTTCTTTAGACATATAGTAATAATACCAACAGCTTTGTTTCTTAACAGTGTTGTGAAGGGTAGGGTTCCTCTCTATATATAGTTTTTGCCTTTTCCCATTTCTTATTTTGATATCTGTGTTGGGATGAGGATAAATGCAATTGATTATGTTCAAGCAGTAAGCAAAGCAAAACAAAAACGATCTCCTGCTTATATGGTAGTTTTCCATAATAATGTTGAAATTTTCCTACTAGATTTTGCAGTGTTTCACCTCCTCCTCTTTCTTCTCTTCCCTTTTCTTCTTCTTTCCTTAATTCTTAAAATCTTAAAGTACTTAGGAAAAATTGTATTTGGGCCATTGCAATGTATGCCTTTAGTCCCAGCACTCAACATGGAGAGGTAGGTGATCTCTGTGAGTTCAAGGCTAGCCTGGTCTTCACAGCGAGTTTCAGAACAGCCAAGCTACATAGACCCTGTCTCAAAACAAAACAAAAAAGACAACAAAATTTTGCGTGTGTGTGTGTGTGTGTGTGTGTGTGTGTGTGTGTGTGTGTGTAGACATGGGTATGGGTACACGTGTATACATGTGGAACTTAAAGGGTAACAGAAAATAGGCATGGTGTCACATGTCTATAATCTCAGTAACCTGTTGTCCCCAAATTTGGGAGCTGTGATCAGAAGAGTTAAAAATTCAAGACCAGCCTGTGCTACATAGTAAGACCCTGTCTCAAACGCAAACAGAATTTCACCAACTTTGATACACTAAATAGCAGAAAGCTTCCATACTATTACCTTATATATATGTTAGCTATTAATTGCAAAGAAATATTAGACATTTGGATAAGAATCTTGATTTTTAGCTGGACCTGACAGTATAAGCCTTCAATCCTAGCTATTTGCAAGGCTGAGGCAGGAGAGTTCTAGGTTCAAGGCCAGACTGGTATAGGGGGGGGGGGGGTTGGGGCCTCTAAGTTCTTTTATGTAATTCTTGTATATATCAATTCAAAAGGATTATTGAAGTTGGATCAGAAATCTTAGTCCTTTTCCATAACGATGGTATTGAATTACATAGTCCTAAAAATTCTCTAACTAGAAAACTTAGTACATAAAATACCTGGAGTGTAGATTGAAGTCTGGATCATGCATTATCAAGAAGGGTTCAATCTGTAGCTTTTAAACGAAGGAAAAGGTTAAGAGTTACCCCTGGGAATTAGTGACACTGGGAAGATCTAGCCAACCATGCAATCTAAAGTATCTAAAGTGTACCCTTTTAAAGGCAGGCAGGCTGGGTTGTGCTGGAACGAAAGCAAGCCTGCATAGCGAGATCTGTCTCAGAAAACAAAAAGTACATTGTTTTAGAAGGTCTCAAAACAGAGCAATAAATCATTGCTACTTTTTTTTATTTACCTGACGTGTAAAGGCTTATATATTAGCAAGAGCTGTCTGCCTATTTTGTGTACTAAGAGCTACATATTTCAGTTCTGTGACACTCATTTTGAAAATGTTCATGTGTCAAAGTACATTTTCATTCAGAGTTGCCACAGACTATCACAATTTGTTAAGAAAACATGTGAAAGAACTTGTGAACCCAGGTGTGGTGGCTCCTGCCAGTAATCCTGCACTTGAGAGGCTGAGAAGGTCTGATTGCCATGGGTGTAAGGTCAGCTTGGGCTACAGAGCAAGACTGTTTCTCAAAAACTACAGAGGAAGTTCATGAAGCTGGCTCACACATGGTAGAAATCAGGCGGATTACTTTAACAAGTGGTTTTGTGTCTTGTGCCATCCTTCGTGGTTCTTGTAGTCGTCACAGATCTCAACTCTCCTTACGCGTTACAATGTTGTAATTAGGGGATCCTTGCTCTAAGAATAAGTAGTCCTGTGCTTTGCCACTGCATAAACCTGTGATCTTGTCATGTGTTAAATGTTGAGAAACAGATCAAGTAGTGGCTTAATTCACACGAAGCTTTTTGAGGAGTGTGGTCTGTCCAGAGACATGTTTCTGCTTGACACCTAGTGGTGTGCATAGGTTGTGTTAGAGAGGGGGAGTGACATTCTAAAGTTGGCATCATGACTCAACCATTGCCTGATAGGGATCTAAAAAAATCAGGGCAGGTGAGATGGTGCCACTGGTTAAGGTGCTTGCTGCCTGGCCTGGCTACCTGAGTTAACCAGGGTCTGCCTGGTGGAAGGAGAGAACCAACTCCCACAAGTTGTCCTCTGACCTCTATACATGTGCCATGTACCATGTATACACCCACAACAACTAAACAAACAAATGTTTTTCTATAATTTAATATAATGTTTTTAAAAGAAGATTCCAAATATATGGACATCGTCATATGTGACTGACCTGCTTGGTAATCGGTGCTGAGCATAGAAATAGGCAATCTAATAAAGCCATACATTGAAAAAAGTGATGAATTTGGTTTCAGGTGTTTCAGGCTCCGGTGCCAGTTGTTGCCAATTAAGGAGATGGGTGAGAATGTTGCTGTTGGGGTGGAGTTGCTCAGACTGCAATCCAGATGTAGGAACATCCATTTCACATTTTTTTTCAAACTGTACCTATAGTTGCAGTTTGATATTTTCAAATTTCAAAGAAGACCATAGCCTTGGCTGGTTAATTTTACACATTACTTGAGCTGTTGATTTGCTTTTGTTTATTTCGAAATTTAACCACTCATTCTTTTTCTAAGATGTTACTTATAATTATTTATTTATTTATTTAGTTTTTTGCTCACCACCTTGGTAATATCTTCAAAGAATAATGGAAATGAGGAAAGGAGAATGAGAAAGCAAAGGAAGGTTTGTTCATTCAGCATGTATTTGATGTCGGTCTGCAGTGAGCCAGAGGTGCAGGGGATATAGGACTAAGCAAACAGGCTCGTCCCTGCCTGTTGGGGCTCCTGGTCTAGTGTTTTCCAAAACAACATCAGGTTGCCAGATACAGCCATCTCTCTAGGAAACAGCATAGGAAAAGAAAGCTAGGAAACAAAGAGCTCCTTGCCCAGCAGTGTGCTGTGGGAGATCTGGGTTAGCCCTGGAAGTTTCTATTCCACAGGTGAGTAAGAACTAGGTAGGGCTTGCTTAGAGTCTCTCTATGGAGCATCTCACCTGCCCTGCAACTTGCTCCTCCTTTTCCTCTGCCTTCTCAGGTTTAAAACCGAAATGCATTTCTTAGAGTAGAGCTTTTAAGAAAACAGTTGTTGCTTACCTTGATGAATTCCTTTCCCCATTCCCCTATTTGAACAGTAACTCAGGAGAGTAAAGTTGACTCGCTTATTAACTGGAGTACTGATGTGAAAAGTTTGGGAAACAGACAGGATGTGGTGACACACCTTTAATCCCAGTACTCCTGAGACAGAGGCAGGAGGATCTCTGTGAGTTTAAAGCCAGCCTGGTCTACATAGTGAGTTCCAAGACAGCCAGAGATGCATTGAGATACCCTGACTCAAACAAACAAACAAACAAAAACTTTTTTGGGAACCAGTAAGAGGGACGGCAGGCACCTCTAGCAGTCTGGGGTGGGGGTGGGATTGCTGCATCCCAGGGCATGTAAAATGACTGCCTGCCCTCCTGTATTCTCTTAACTGAAAAGTAAAACATTTCCAGGATTTTAGTGAAGTATTGAAGGAGGCTGTTGAATGCAGGGGGCTAGTCCCCTCTGCTGACTATATATGGAGAAACCATTGTGTTGGTCAGCACACCCCCACACACACACACTGAAGACATAATTGAGAAAACATTGTGCTGTCCCACATTTCAAGGGTTAAACAGATTGTAATCAGATAAATCACTCTCTCTGCCTTTCTCTTCTCCTCAGTTCAGACGAAACGGTACAGTTCTGGATATGCAATCATTTGTGGTTCGTTAGTTGCTTTGCTAGTTTAATGGGAAGGAATTGACATTAAATTGGGCCTATTTAACATCAGTTTCAATAATTTGTAAGAGAGAATAGAGAAGACACTGATGAAATTCACAGATGAGTGAATAGAGGTCCCATCAGGAAAGAATGAGAGATTAACTTTAAGGGTCCTAGAGAGACTGGAAATGGGCAGGAAGTAAAAATCAGCGTGGAAAAATGTCTATAATTCATCTGGGGAAAGAAAAAGAAGTCCAGGCTGAATGGCTGATAATCAAGAGAAAGAAAGCCACTGGGGATAGTGTCTAGAAAATCAGATATTACAGATGGCTGCCAAGTTTTTGTGTAGTGATAATCCTAAATGTCTGTATGTTCTCAGTCTGGGAGTGCCCGTCCACAACTAATGTCAGATGTGCTCAGATGAGAATGGGATGCAGAGATGAAGCGAGGATATTGTTTTAATAGGAGTCTCCAGTGACTGACTGATGGACCCAGGTGGTTGTTAATTGTCTACCATACTTAAACTCTTCCTCTTAGCAGTCCGTTTTTCATAACCCAACCCCTCTTGTATTTCTGACCACTTAGCAAACTCAGAACTATTTATAACCCCAGAGGAAGAAAGCAGAAAAGTCCAAGGTTCCGCTTTTCTTTTACATATGGTTATCTATCCACTTTGAGGGGAACAAAACCAGCCTTGTGTTGTTGTTTTGTTTGTTTGAGATTTGATTTTATTACATTTTATTCATGTGTCTGCTTTTTTGTGCCACGTGTTTCTTTGGAAGGCAGAAGAGGATGTTGGATTGCCTGGAGAGCTGGAATTATAGGCGGTTGTGGCCATCTGATTTGATGCTGGGAACTGAACAGTACTGAACAGAAGCAATGTTCTTTGTTTGTTTGTTTGTTTGTTTGAAAAGCAGTGATGTTTAACATCTGATACATCTCTAACTGCTCAATCCCTTCTTTTTGGAAAGAAGGTCTACCCCAATTTACTTCTTATTTCTAGTAAAAGTCTCAGTGAATGCTGTGTCCTTTTTCACTCTGTGGAGATGTGGCCTCTTAATTTACGTATTTACAGATACTATTGTTATTGCCTTGGAAAATGTCTGAGAACATTACCAGTGACAGACTCACTTCCTCGGGCTGTCCCTGATGACATTCAGAAGAGAGGTCACATCCCACTATGGACCATAAGCTTTTATCTCCACATGCCCAGCCCAAGTCCAAGCTGTTTTCCCATTGCTGACACTGACATCTGGAAGTACACGAACAGGAAGGAGGTGCAGGTGCTTACATATGGCTAGCTAAGTGGTTAATTGCCGATTCTGAGTCAAGACTGAATGTACTAGAAAATTTTAGATCAATGCGTTTTATCCTGGTGAAATCTGGGTCCTATAGACTTTACAAATGTAACTTATATTACTGTCCACCAGACACTGATGAGGGAGAGGTACAGTTCAAAATGGAGTGTGTGGCTTTCTGGTCTACTTACTTAAAAACACATGCTACAGAATATGTAACAAGAAGCTGTACTTTTTCCTGCTAAGATGTGTTTAATATGTGCTCCTGGAACATTACCGTTCATCAATGGCATCCGTGTGGAAGCCCTTGTTCTTCTGCCTCGCTGGTCCCCGGGTCTGCCCCGTGAATATAGCTGTACGCCACTCTGACAAATGTTCTTTAGAAATCATGATGTTGAAAGCCCTTAGACTTCACTCAGAAATTCCCTCTACAACATGCCTTAATTTAAAGAAGAGCACAGGAAAAGAGAAAACCAAGAGCAAGGAAGAAGGCCTTTCACTGTCTGGTAAGTCCCTGGCATTTTGTTATTTCAACATGATGAAATTCATTCACATTAGTTCTATGAATTAATTTTACTTGTAATGCTTATATTTATAGGGACCTGTCCTGATTTTTTTTTTTTTTTCATATTCTGGCAGTTTTCCCTTCAGCTCAACTTTACTTCTTTTACATGAACTTTTCTTTCTGATCCTTCTTTGTCCTCTAACTCAGATCCCTGGTGCCTTTTATTACCTTCAGATTCCTTCAGAGAAAGGGAAGCAGCAGCCAGAAGCTCACTTAGCACATGTGGCACCATCAAGGACAAGTGCCTGGCTATGCTTCTGTGACACTGAGGACAGCTCTTGCCTGACCTCTAGGAGACTGACGTTTAAAGCCAGACAACTCAGTCCACTGAGTAGGAGAGTGGGCGGGGCTAACAGCATAATACGATGTGGGAGGGAGACACTGATCATATGAACACTGTCAAAAGTTCTGAGTTGAAGTTGGCACAGTGCCACGAGCCTATAATCCCAGCCCTCAGAGAGGCAGAAGCAGGCAGATCTTGGTAAGTTCAAAGCCAGCTTGATCTACAAAGCCAGTCCAGGACAGCCAGGGCTACACGGAAAAAAAAAAAGTCTCAAATAAATAATAAATAAATAAATAAATATATAAATAAATATATAAATGAATAAGTAAACTGAGTTGAGTAAAATAGTGAAGAGAGCAAATCAGAATTAAAACCTACTCTTTTGATGTGACAGGTCCAAACCAGGGCTCTGGTTCTGATTCAAGTGTGTTCATGCCTGTCCCTGTTCCTTCATTTAGACTGGCTGAAGACCTGTACAGAAAAATGTGGGTCGTGTTCATGTTTTTCCCATATTATCAAAAGTTAAAATTAGATCCCTGGTGTCTGAACTCCATTAACTGTACAGTTAGTGTATTTTTTCTATTTGAACTTAGAAGTTGGGTTTACTTAAATTAATGACTGGATTTACTGACAGATTTCTTGTTCTCTTTCAGACTCGCCTGTATCATCTTGCTCAGAATGCTCTTTCCAATGACTAGAGCTGGCAGAATTGGACTCCTTTTCTTTTCTTTCTTTTTTTGGCCCCAGAAACCTTCCCTCCCATGTGTAAAAGATGGAAATAAAGAATTCTGGTCTTTACTCTTTCAAATGATTTATTTCTAGCATACACCTGCTTGTGTCTATGTTTTTCCTGTCTGTGTTACATCAAAACCCAATATGGTATCATTTTCAAACTTTTCTTAGTCCCAATTTTAGAAATTAACAAAATGTACCAGTAACAGAGGAACAGCTTGATCTTCAACAGGCAGCAATGATAAAATGTATTTGGGAGTAACCATTGCAGGCAGAAACTAAACTGGAACCCACACCTTCAGAGGTAGTCCAGGTCTCACCTGAAGGCTTCTCTAGTGTTGGGGTAAGGGCCCGAGAAAGAATGTGTCAGTAGACTGAATTCAACAGCAGTAAAACAACCAGAAAAAGTGAGGAGAAATCATTTGAGAAAGAATTGCTGTATGCCTAAGGAAACAGGAATATGGTGAGGGAGAGACACTAGAACAGTAGAAGCAGATCGTGAGATGGGTCAAATCGCCATTAGCAAACAATAGCATTAAGCAGATATTATAAATATGTTCAAGGGCTTAAAGGAAAATAAATGCCCAGGAAATATGGATGTTTCAGCTGAGAAAAATCCAAATACAGACTTCAGGTCTGAAAAAACATAGTATGTTAAATGGTAAATGTGCAGAGTGAGCCTGACAGTGATTGGAGGAGACAGAAGAATCAAAGAAATAGAAGTTTTCAAACTAAAAATTTGAAAACACTTAGCTGGAAGCAGGGAATAATTGCAGAATGGAATTGAAATGAAATGTTCAGTACTGATAAATTCAAGTGAATTAATTCTGCAATGGAAAAAACAAACCTAAAACTCTTTACTTTGAAATGGCTAGTCTGTATGTTTCTTCCAGCGCTGAGAGGGAGGTTTCTTCCACCTGTGATGGATAATGTTGTCTGTCAGGTGACAGGTTCTAGAATTACCTAGGCGACAAACCTCTGAACATGGTTTTGAGGGAGTTCTTAGATTAGATAAACTGAGGTGGAAGACCCACTCTGAATATGGGCTGGAGACCCAGAATAAGTCAAAAGGGGAAAGCAAATGAAACACCAGCATCCTGACTGCAGATGCTGTGTCCAGCTATGTCCACATTACGATGCATCGCACCCTTGAACTTGGAACTACAGTAAACCTTTTCTTTCTTAAGTGGCCTTTGTCAGGTGTTTTGTTATAGCAGTGAGAAAGAGAAACCAATGTACCACCTGAATTCACAGCCTAGTACTTTCATATTGACTGTCAGAAGGTCATTTCTCTCATATGGTCATGTGTCTAAACTTTCTGTTTGTTCTCATTCCTTGAAGTAGCTGGTGTTTTTTTGCTTCTGTGTGCTGTGTTTAAGAACTAGTTAATGAAATGGGAGATGTCTTCTGGCAGTGGACTAAAGGAAGTATGTGGGTCAGGTCCTCATAGAAGGTTCTGTTCTTAGGTGGCTTTCCTTTGCTACATTTTCCTATCACTGTACGCTATAACTGTAACTTTCAGAGTCTTGGTATTTCAAACTCTAATGAGTTTATTAGTTTTAAGCATAATTCTTAAAATTTAGCAAATATAAAATACTCATTATATTAAAAAATAAGCTTATTTTAATTATTGATGCCCCAAAACACTCAGTTCTGTTTCTTGGCTTAAACTCTGCAGGTGTTTCACCAAAACCAACAGTCCCCTTCCTGTGGTCCCAGTGGTAACCTCCTGTCCTCAGGATGGCCTGGAAATGAAGCCCCTCAGTGCCATGAAGGTGCCTGTGTGTCCAGCTTCCACAACTCCTGATTGTGGCCAGGGACCCAAGGAGAGCATCAAGGACAGTATGGTGGCAGCACCTACCCAGCATACGTGCTGTCAGGACAACATAAGTGACGTCAATTCTGATTCCACAGAAGACACAGCGGAGTTCAACAGAGGTACAGGGAGGAGGCATTTTGCTCCTTAGGTTTCTGCTCTCCAGTGGCCCGAGAACTGTATCAGGAAGTTTTCTGTGGTCAGCTCGCAGATAGCTTAGGAAACCTAAGTGGGAGTGTTGGGTACTTAAAGAAAAGATAAGAATGGATAAGAGAATCTTCGAACATCCTTCATTCTAGATTCTCTCCCATCCAGATACTAACCAAAGCTGACCCTGCCAACACGCTCAGGGTGGTATAGCAATAGATGGCTCAGGTTGCTAATCTCATTGCATTAGGGGAAGTTATCCAACCCAGTGTGAGTTCATTAGTACCATAGCAGAGGACTTGCTGGGACAGTGCATTTTGTGAGGATGGGCCCTGCATTTCTTTGAGTTCACTGTAGGAGCTATAATCTTTATTTAAGGTGCTTTTTTAGGGGCTTTTAAGGGGAAATCAATTTAATTTTTCAAAATGACTTACATAGTAACTCATGAGAATTTGATTTTATGAATGTACTTTCTTCTCAGATTCAACCCAAATCTAAGTGGCCTTTTTGTGTGTGTGTGTTTACTCGACATACTGTTTTCAGAAACAGCCGTGTGAAGATCGTTTATTAGTCTGTAATGTATCCGAATCTCCCTGCTTTTCAGGAGCCAGCAGTGGGCATTCAGAGGCAGAGGAAAAAGTTCTAAGTTGGAATCCCCTTATTTTGTCACCTGTCTTGGAGGACTGCACTGAGAAGACAGCGTGGTTTCCTCCTGGCCTTCCTCTGGATGGGTTATCATCAGTCCTTCAGCAAGCCCAAGAGACCTGAGGATGCACACAGGCTTCTTGACACTCCCACTGCAAGCCAGCAACTGCACAGCACAGGCCTGGGGGCAAACTGTGTGAAGGACATTAATTCAAATCAGAGAAAATCATTATTTATTTTTTGTAGCAGTAATGTCATGAATGTATCTTAAAATGTGTGCCCTTTTATATTATTTATGCCTTAAGTTTTCCCTCTTCCATTTCTTTCTTTCCCTCAATAGGAACCCCCTCACCCTACTTTTTAAATATAGTTTTCAATCATCTGGAGAGGAGGGGGATCATTCTGTATTTCCCAGAACCTTTAATGGCAGTAGGAACTTGTGCTGGGTCCCATCTTTTGGCCTATTTAGTTGTGGGGAGGAGGACTGCCCAAGCCAATTTGGAGTTTGCCACCAGTCATTTCTAGATGGAAAACTTTCACTTTTCCCATGTTACCAGACTTTCTGGGAAGATTTAGAATTCAACTGTAGTTGTCATCATATGTTTATAATTGCAAACTCAGCTGACAAATTTTATGACTGCTTTCCAGAAAAGGGCTAATATCGACTTATTTTCTCCCTGTACCTGGGTAAAAGTAATGATCAATTAGCCAGTGTTATGAACATGGAAGCATGTAAGGTCTGGTTGGATTATTGCATTATGTAGAAAGGAAACCAGGTTCAGAAAGAAAATTAATGCCTTCATGGTCCACTGCTTTAATTACGTTAATTTACAAAATGGTCACCATGGGCTCTTTGCACTATTTGCAAGGGTATGTACAAAAAAGACTTAAAGTGATAGCTTGAAGAGAAAGATATTATACTCCTTAGAAGAAAGAAGGGGGCTGAAGGGACCTATTTAAGTGAAGCTCTTCATTCTATTCCCTCATGCTCACGTTGCTATACCATTTGAAGATTGTCATTTTTGTCACTTCCAACATAGGCAATATCCTGGAAGATAGGAGTGAGCATGCTTGAGTAAGCTTCTGCCAATACAACAGAACACCTGAGGTGACTACCTTCTAAGTAGAAAAGGTTATCTTGGCTCCCACTTTTAGACCTTTTAGTTTGTAGTTGAATGGACCTGTGTTGAGGGAGCATATCATGGTGGGTATGCATGGTGGAGCAAAATAGCTTATACTCTAAGCCATAGGTAGGACATGAAGAACAGGAGCAGAGTGTACAGGTCCTTCTGAGAACATGCTTCCAGTGATCTGAAGACTTCGCACTCGTCCCTTGTTCAAGATTCTACCACCTCCTAGACATGCTGCCATGGGAATCCGTACCGTAACACATAGGCCTTTGGAAAACAGTATCCAAACCACAGCAGAGTGTCAGGAAAGGCTTAGTTTGAAGAATGGGTTTGTGAACTCAGGCTCTGGTCAGCAGGGTCTGTGCATCACAGTTACTGTTCCCTGAGTGACAAGGACATTACAGCTGCCTTTGGAAGGCTTTTTTTTTTTCTCCCTCCAAATGTGTAAAACAGAAACCCTAGGCACTACAAATGCATTTTGTAGCTTGAACCAGGCCCTGATGGATCGCTGCTCTGTTTTTAGATGGTGTATCCCTTGGGAAACAAAACCAGAAAATTAGCCTCTTTATGTGGAATCAAACAATCCTAGGATACATTTTGCTTTAGTTTCCCACAAATTGCAGCGAAAGTGAATAAGAAACTGAAGTAATCAACTCTACATAAACTTGTCAGTATTCCCTTACATACGTCTGTATCTTTTATAAATAGAACTGTTAGTGGAAATGTGCTGTCTCAGCAGGACCACTGCACTAGAGTTACTCCTGTAGAGTGCGGTGAATAGAATTCCACAGCAGGGTAGAAGTGAGTTCTACGACCCCAGGGTTCGTGTCTGTAGTAGAAGAGATCTGCAGTTAGTTTGGGAGGCAGCTAGCTGCTGTAGCCTTATATCTGTGACTTGCAAAGGACAAAGTCCTAGTGCACAGGACATAGAGACACACTATGTGTTTTGCCAGTTGAGTTAGAACAAAGCTGTCTCAGAGGGGAGTTCAGGAAAGCAGGAAGCAGTTGGTTACCATGACTCGTGAAACAGGTGTGGTAGCATGAGTCTTAGATCAGAACTGCTTTTAAAGATTGAATTTGACATGGGGCTTGCCCATGAGGAATAGAAAAATGACTTTATCTTTAGGGCAATCTCCTTGTGGACTGCTTTATTTATGATTAGTAACGCTGTTTTAAGTGTTATCCCTTTTATTGTATTTTATTTATAAAAATGGCTTTATATATTGAGATATATAAATATAAATATAAATCTATATAATTGCCTTTAGGAGTTTGAATTCTCCTTAGTGTGAGTTTCTCTGAACTTTCATGCCCTACACAGTCACCAGAAATGGTCCTAGTGAGTGTCACTTCCCCTGGAATCAAGAGGCCATAGGAAAATGTGGGCATAGCGCGCATTTGCGGAGAACTACTGTGTATTTAGCTCCCTGTTTGTTCGTGTTCTCGCATCCAACCCCACAGCAAACAAAGCAGGCATGAAATTCCGAGCTCATGAGTGAGCTAGAGCCTGCTCTGGAGCCCAGTTTTCCTGATCCACCACCCCTGCCTCCACTCACCTGCTTTGTGCAAGTGTTACGGTTCACTCTCTGTGGAGCCAGTCCAGAACACGTGCCGTTGTCCACCCCTGCTGCGTCCTTTCTCGGTGAGGCTCCGACTGCAGCTGGTGGGGCTTCCCTCTGTCTGCCCTCATCCCAAACTGGCAGAGTTCTTTGCTGAGCATTTCATCTTTAAGAGTCTGTCCTTGACACCCTGTCCTTACCTTCACCCCACTCCTTCCCTCTCCCAGCCCTGTAGAGGTTTGGCCTTCAACAGGCTCAGTGACCATGAAGTTGGTAGGGCCACTTCATGTTGTGGATTAAACTTAACCCAGTCCTAGTAAATCATGTCACCTCTCCCTGGTTGTGTTTTTCAATTATGTGCTGACTTTGGTGAAGAGTGCTGTACAAGGTATAGGTTAATTGTGTTATTATAAACTGTTGAAGTGACCTCATTGTCAAATAGTTTTTGCTGAGTTCTCTTTGTATAGACTCAGTCTCTGAAGACCAAGGCATCATACTGGGCTGATCACGTCACTTCTTGCCAGCATCAGACTACCAAGAAACTATTTGGAATTGTCCTTTACCTGTATTGCTTGCTCTTACAGCATTGACTCTGAGGTGCATGTTTTGTACTATATTGAAAAAATGTTTTATTTTCCTTAAAGTTGTGATACTATTTCTGAAATTGTACATACTCTAAATGATGTAGTTTTGGCAGGTTCTATTTGGTTGATATGGTTTTATATTAAAACAGAATGCTGCTTCCATTCACACAATAGCCTGTGAAGAGAGGTACCCACATGCTCCTGTGTTCACAGGGTGGCCCTGTGGCTTGTGACTACGATGTATAATTGTCCTATTTGGAAATTTTTCAGAACCTCCACCTTGTGGCTTTGCAAATCCCTTGAACACCCAACGGCCCAGCCACCTCTCCCTTGTCCTGATTGCCAGGACTAAGAGGGACCAGGACCATGGGCAGCTGTCTGTGGGGGAGTCTGAAGGACCCAAAGGGAACTTAGCATGAGATAAACAGGAGGATGGGAGAGAAGCAAAGCGAGAGGAGATTCTTCTCTATCTGCCTGTTGCTGCAGGATCCTTGGAGTGTGGGCTTCAGGGTGGGATGTTGCACTTCCAAAGCAACTTGCTTTACCGACCTAAATAGTGGAAGTCACTCATCTTCCCTGACCAGAAAAACAACAGAATCCCATCTGTTGGGTGTAGCCATTTTGTATTTCCCATACTTAAAGAAACTGCTTTTAACTCTTAGGCCCCATCCTGAGAACTGTGCAGAACGCTGAAACCCTTTTCTAATAAAGCCTAAATGTAAGAGAACCAAAGAAGCGTCTTAGGTTTCTTCCCAGTTTTCTGTCTCCTGTCAGGCGCCACGTTCCATACTGCTGGCAGATCAGCCTTGGCTCTGTCGCTGTTTGTTCTCCTCTGAGTCCTCCGCAGAACAGCTCTGAGTCCTGATTCTTCCAGTCAGACAAACAAGCATGCGCTTGTGTTTCACCCAGATTGCAGGCTCACACATACTCGGAGCCAGTGACTCACACTGGCAGCTGTCAAGAGTGTGACTTTGGAACAGCCTCTGCTCTCTGTCAGCCAGCTCCCCGAGGCCCGGTGGCTGGAGTGTTGCTGAATACCTCTGCTGGCAGATTCCAGGAGGCTGACCACTGCAGGGACAGCGATGCTCCTAAGCTGCATTTGGACAAAGGGAACTCATACCTATGCACCCAGTTCTTCCTGCCAATAAAACATGGCCTGAGCAACCAGCTCAGAAGTTGTAATTGAATATCTCTGCTAGACATTAGCTATAATTGAGTTAGGGGTTGCTCAAACCAGTGCCTTTTTTTCTTTTCTTGATTTTTTTTTTTCTAGAAAGACCTTAGTTAGCTCTTAGTTTTCTGGTGTCAGAGACATTCCCTGTATGTACCATTTTCAGTTGCTCTCAGATATCTTCCCTGTTGCCTCCTGTTGTGTATTTTTCTCTATCTGCCACAAGCTGGATCATGCCTTGTTTTGTCATGTGGGCTCTGCAACTGGACCGTTTACCGCTTTTCGAGTTTGGATAATGAATCAGCAGTCATTGGTATCTATGTGTTGGATGCAGAAGGGTGAGTTGCCTCCTTGGTTTTAGGGCCGACGTCTGATGGGATCATTCCACCCTGCTTGCCTTCCCTCAGCCTGTTTGAGGCTTCATGGACCTTGTGGAGTTGCAGTCACTGTGATGGTGACATTCACTGGAGCATCAGTGGAGTCTTGTACAGGGTCTGAACTTGAGCTTGTAGTTGCTGTTTCAGTGCCTAGAAAGAGAGCATGAGTGGCTGAGGAGTGAGTGGGGGTGCTGGGGGGGGCTGCTCTCAGAGAGAGCACACAGCATGCATGGCAGCCGGCAGTGGACTCTAGTCATTGGCACAGATGGTGCCTACCTGCTGGTGTCTCAAAGCTTTCCCTGGAGCCCCTCTGTTGCTGTCTGTGCTCCCTGAGGTGGGTAAGGGAGAGAGGAATGTTAGGGGCATCTGCACCTTCCCAGCCTTCCTTTCCAGCTAAGAAAAGTCTGGACCCCAAAAAGATAAGCTGCACACTCACATGGGAACAAGCAGACGACGGAGGCCTGTGGGAAGAAATGAAAGAGCATCACTTGACCAATGTAGCATGGAGCCCAGGAAAATGGCCCTCTCCCTCATAGTGGTTTCCCATACCAGGGTCTCAAGAGCTTAAGGGGAATGGCCCCAGTGCCTGAGATGGCTGGGGTCTTGACCTTCAAAACTCATCACAGCAAAGAAAAAGTCTAGATTCTCCTATGGGTAGGTCTACACCTGGCCACCCTATGCAGTCAAGCGGCCTATCTGTTCAGATTCCCACTCACAGGGGAAAGTGTGTGGGTGCCGGGCAGCATACAGGAACACCAACAGGGAGGCCACCAATGTCACCACCACTCCTGAGCCTGCAGCACCCAGTACAGCTGGGTAGGCACTGAAGGCAGGGTCCACTAGGAGGTGAGAACATGGATTGTATTAATTAGCCCCATCAATGAACTTGGGCAACAGTGCCTCATGGGGTACAGAGATGGTGCCCTGGTCATCCCAAAGGCTCTGCTACCCTTTGTAGGGGGACCCAGGGAATGTGGAGTTCAGCCCTTTCCCACTGGTGGGGGTGTCCTGGCTGCCTGGTGCTGGTGGTTTACATCTCCAGCCAAATCCCCATTCTGGCAGAAGATACATAAGGCTACTATTTTTCTTGGCATCATGGGGCTGAAGGAGCTAGGCCATAAAATAAGGAATTCCCAGGACAGAGGGAGCAACAGGAAACTGAGCCCTCCTATTCCTTGAGAGGTGAGACTGAGGCACAGATTGGGCTCCTCTTAAACCCTCAGCATCCCATTCTTTCTCTAGTTTCTTTGTATTGAAATTGGCTTAGGGATCTCCTCCTATGCCTGGGGCTTCCTGAGCTGCCCAAAGAGAGGAAAGAACAATAGTAAAGGACAAGTAGAATGCACACATAGATAGGCTAACGGAGCCATCAGGATAGAAGCAAAGGACTGGAGCAGGGTACCCTGTGAGGGGAGGATGGGCCAGGTTTCAGTTCTTTGAGGTGGGGAAAGTTGAGTTCCTCCCTATTGCCAGCCTAGCACCTGGTGTCTTCACCTCCGAAGGATATCCTGCAGTGTGGTGATTCATAGCCAGGATGCGGAAGGCATAAAGGACCCCTGGGTCCAACCCTCCCAGACGCCGGTCCCTGCTCTCTGGCTCGATGTCACTAGCTGCTACCTCCCAAACACCAGCTTCTGAGCTTGGGACACTGGCCCTCTGCTCCACCAGAAAGCCCGTCAGGTTCCCGGGGCCGTGGATGGCCCACTGCAGCTGCACCTCCCTCCGTTGTCGCCGGTAGGTCAGGTGGCTGATGGTGACGTTGGGAGGGGCTGGATACCCTGGAGGTGAGTGAAGATGGAGATACATACAGGCATCTGGCTAGCAGCAGTCACGCAGCTTTCCCCTGCGGACAGACAGTCTGCAGAGAGGAGAGGTGGGATGGTGTGTACATCCCTGAGCAGCTTTCCTCTCCGTTTTCTCATTGATAAAATGGAGGTGTGGAGTTCTGTGCTCGTATATTTAAGATTCCGTCAGATTCATGATCCCCTAGCCCATCTGGGTCATGCCCTAGGAGATAACCCAAATTTTGGAGAAGGTAATTTTCGGAACTTTCTGCAAAGCCCTCTGCAGCCATTGGTCACCTACATCCCCTGTCACAGAACACACACATCCCTGACACTCACTCAGGACCTCCAGCAGCACATTCCGGCTGCTATTGCCTAAGGCATTTCGGGCCACACATTGGTAAGTGCCCCTGTGGTGTGCTGGGTCAGCATCTCGGACTTGAAGGCGCAGGTGGGTGCCCTCAGGGTGTAGCACGAATCCATAAGTACTTCCTTTCAACTGCTGTTGCTGGGGTCCCAGCCAGATGAGCTGAGCAGGTGGGGTGCCCTGCTGGAGAGCACAGCCCAGCCAGGCCTCTTCTCCCTCCAGCACTGACACTAGGGCTTCATCCACTGCCAGCTGTGGGGCTTCTGAAGAGACAGAGAAGGTGAGGCTGAATAAGCAGCTGCCCCTGGCTGGTGGAAAGGCAGTAGCCAGAGCGAAGAGAGAAGGCAGCTCTTCCTAGGCCACTCGGCCTCCTGTTCAGAGTTCTGATATGGTTTGCTCTATAGTCTGCTGGTCATTGCAGAGTTTTTGAATGTTCTTCCACCTTCCTATCCTAGTGTCTGTAACTTCAGGTAGGGGCTCTGCTTACTCATTTCTGCAACAGCACCTACCAGGGGTCACTTTCCTGCACTGGCCTGCCATCTCCTGGCTGGCACAGAGAAGGTACCTCAGCTTCTGAAGGTCCTTGACAGTCAGGTGCCAACAAATCTCTTACAAGGGAATTTCCAAAGCTGAGTAATCAGGAAGGAAGTATTTTGGCTGAGGATATCCTTAAAGCCCACCAAAGCATGCTAGTCTCAGAGACTTCGGAGAGCAGGTGGGAATCATTTGGTGAGGCCTGTATCATACGATAGCTCCTGTTCACTCTCCTGACATCTCCAATCTTTCAGTATTGAATTCTTCTATTTTTCACGTGTTCATAGACTGGGGAGTGGGTGAAGACAAAAGGAGGAGCCAAACCGTAGATAAAGCCACGGACACAGGTAGAGAGATCTTTGATTCGTAAAACACTGAAAGCCAAGAACATGGTCAGGCACCTTCCTTATGCAAATACAAAATGAGAAAAGCAGTCACTGTTCCCACAACATTCAATACTGCCTGGGGATGTCCCATACCAAACATAGCCATCAGCCATAGGTGACCACTGGGCACTCGAAATGAGGCCAGTATACAATGAGATGTATGGTAACTTATAAATATGCTGCAGTTTCAAGACAGGGTGGAAAAATGTTAAATAACTCATAAATAGCACTGTTACATTGGAAAGAATTTTAACTATATTAAATTAAATGTTTTACCTCTTCTTACTTTTTTTTAATATGGCAACAAAAATTACATATAGCTCATATTATATTTTTATTGGACAACACTGACCTTGACCAACCTCTCTCATTTATTGATTGAGGGGTGGGGCTGGCAAGATGGCTCTGTAGGAAGGAGCTTGCCACCAAGACTGACAGCCCAAGTTCACATGGAGTCCCCAGAATCCACATGGTAGAATGAGAAAATCGACTCCCACACATTGTCCCCTCACTTCCACAAGAACAGAGTCGCAAGTATACACACACACACACACCAGCCTCTTGACTCACCTTTGCAGCCCAGCACTGCCCACCTTCTGGTTCTAAAGGACTTCCCTCTCCCATACCCCAAAGCCATGACTAGGTCCTGCTCACCCAGCCTGAGCTGGCAGTGGGAGCCAGGGGCCTTGAGTGGGTGAGAGCCCCGACAGGTGAACTCTCTGCCTGCCAAATCACTCTGAGCCTGCAGAAGGTAGACCGCCGGCGAAGAGCTCGGGTCCCCCGGGGACTGCTGATGTGTGTCCAGCCAGCTCAGCGTTGCAGGAGGTTCACCTCCAGGCCACTCACAGCTCAGCATGATGAACTGGTCGCCTACTGTGGCTGTGGTCTGGCAGGTTGGGTTCCCCGGAGGTTCCCCTGGAAAGGAGTGATAGGATCAGTGTGGCCTTGTGGGAAGAGGAGGGGCTTGGCAGGCCCACCTCTCCCCAGCTAATTCCTCCACTCAACTCTTATTCCTCATCATTTATCCAGGGCTGACCACGTGGCAGGACAAAGATGGGAACACACACTAAGTAGCTAGTGTATAAGTTGGTGAGTACTAGATTA